CAGTGACGCAATGCGTTCCCTGAAGTCCAATGCAGTGGGTTTCAAGGTAGTTGTCATCCGTGGAATCGACTGTCCCGTTGACCGGCAGCGACTCGCCTGAATAATCCATTAGCTCCTGCTGCCAGCACCTCAGACAGTAGCGTACCAGTCAAGATAGAACGGTCAAAGCACACGTCATTGGAGACCTCAACCAAGCGCACGTCTGCAGGTAGCTTGTTTCCCGCTTTGAGATGTACCACGTCTCCAGGGACAATATCCGGGGCAGAGACTACTACTAGAGAGCTGTCACGGAGAACAAGACAGCTCTCGGGTAGCATTGCCGTGATTGAAGCCATGACCCTTGAGGATGACCAGTCCTGCCACGCGTTGAAACCTGCCTGAATGAAGAACACAGCCAGCAGGACAATGGCCAAAGCAAGGTTTGCCGGAGCGGGAGGCTGTCCCAAGGGCTTCCAAGAGATGAATACGAGTATACAGCCGATCAGTAGAATGCCCCCGAAGCCCTTGAAGAAATAGCCAAAGATCTGCCAGAACCATTGGTGTGGTAGCGGAGACAGAGCGTTCTTTCCAAACTCACAGACCCGTTGCTGGACCTGGTCGTGCGATAGGCCTTGAGAAATGTCGACACGCCATCGCTTCTGTATCTCCTCGGGCGAAACCATATGCCAGTCGAGATTAGACAGATCTAGAAAGCTATCATTAGCAGTGAAGGCCCTAGAGGGATCAACAACTGAGTGGAAACAGTACCGGTCGCGACATTGCTTTTAGTCTTTGCAGCCTCCGCTCGTTCACGGTCTCTCGCCTCATCGATATCAAATGAACTATCCAAACGAAGTCAGAGCTCAATGAACTTTTATCAATACCGAGTGCGGCACTGACACTGTACGATAATGAATTGGCAATGAAAGAGAAGGATCAACGGTCGCTCTTCGTGCGCGACTGCGAGCAGAGCTGTTGGATGCCACTGATGTCGTTCGCGAAAGCTGCAGAGGGTCTCTTCTGGCTGTTACGCCTTTCTCTTCGTCACCTTCTTGCCAGCGGAGACGAGTCGCTTCGGCATTGAGTGACACGCCTGACTTCGCGTCCATCTTGATGAAGTAGAGGAGCTCAGTTCAGCCGATTGAGAGGCAGACGACACCACACGGAAAAAGCCGAACAGAGCAGAATAGAACGCAAGAATATTTGGTGCGCGGCAATTTGAGCTCCCACTGTGCCCGCCAGCTTTTATAGTTAGAAGTGGAGGCTCGGACTGTCAACCACGCGCAAGGTCTGTGCGGATGCCATGCGAGCTTTGCCTCATGACAGAGTGATAGAAATCCCAGGCCGATGACACTTGCGGGTTTTACCAGAACCAGTGGTTGAGGATGTTTGGACCGGAGGATGGAGTGCGGTTGAGATCAGTGGCTTGGGTAAATCCCTCAAGCGTGTCAAAGACGGCGGACTACTGTTTAGCACTAGCCCTCACTCCTCGACCAGCCATAAAGTCCCTCACTCTGATCACTTCTGGTAACTCTAGCCTACACAATATAGCTGCCTGTTAGATCATTTAATTAGTTTCTGAGGGAAAAATTGTTCAGTGAATAATAAAATCCTGTCATTCTTAGAAACCGACCACCCTTGGCCGAGAAAGCTGATTCTTGTCTACAACACCAGGGCATGCAAAACATAGAACATCAAGCTCGTTGCTGTTGCTAGGGGTAGTATTATCATTTGCCAGCTCCACACACTTTCGTGTTCTTTGTTCTCTAGAACTTGCTGCCTACTGCACTGTTCTGGCAGTGGTAAGGGAAGATAGTCCACTCGTGCTGTACGCGAGGTGATCGAAGTGAGCAAGCCAATTCCCGTTCCATGAAAGTGTGAAAGAAACACTTGGTTTAGCTTGAGCACCCAGCTAGTTGCCGCTTCTATGCGGACCGCGCACCGTGAGATGAGAAAAAGACCTCTGGTTCTGCGCTTACGTGAATCTTCCCAAGCCTTCAACATTGGCGTGAGTCGATCTTCCGTATATAAAGGAGTGGACCCGCGGGCGAAGAAAACTAGATGGTTCGCAAGCGATGCGGCGGATTCAATGGCGCAATTGGCACCTTCTGCTATATTCGGTGCCATCTATACATCATTGTCAACTACCCTACCATGACGCATTCAAGGTGTGAGAGTACCTTGTGTACCGCATCCCCTATTCCTACAAACCGGCCCCAGGACCACCTGTTTTGGAATCCCTCTTCCAGTGAGGCCATAATGCATGATTCAGAGCGGTTGAAGATTTCGCCGAACGTGACATCGCTGGTGACATGCTTCTCCAGAAACGGTTCGACGATCCTGGATACATAAGCGCGGTCGGAAGCATGGCGCGGGATGGACACCGGCATCATTGTGCGCGCAATCGACATGAACCAGCAGACTCTGGAGTCCGCCCCCACCATAATAACCGTTAACCAGCCATGTCCATAGGTCCGGTGGACGTCTCCTTTATTCAGCCTGGGGATTGACTGAGCGATACCGAAAACACCAGCGAAGGAATCGGTCAAGGGGACCTCGGAAAGCCAGCGAGAGCTGGCAACAGCCCCATTGGTATCACGGATATGATGCCACATCTGCTCACGCACGATGCTATGAACGCCGTCCGCACCAACTACCAGATTCCCTGAGACACTCATTCCATCCGCGCTGTAAACTGTAACATTATCCGAAGATGACACTATGCGGACGACTCGCCGATTGAAGAACAGCCGACTGCTCCGAAGGCGAGTATATAAAATACCTAGGAGTGCCCGTCGGGCGATAACGAGGACAGGATAATCAATTCTACCCGCAGTCAGCCCACAATTTCTTTGATAAACACAATCGCCGCATACCGTCCGAAAGATCGAATCCGTCCCGCATCAACCCGTCGCAGCAGGCGTCCGGTTTCAAGCCAAGTGCTGTGCGATACCATGCATTGACCTTGGTCCAGCACGTCTTGATACAATCCCAACTGATCAAGAATCCGGGCGCCATTCGGAAGGATGGCAAGCCCAGCACCATCCGGGTATGTATCAGATCTTGCTTCGAGAACAGTAAACTCGATTTCGGTGTTGGATAAACAGTGGGCGAGAGTCAGGCCGGCGATCGAGGCACCCACAATGATAACGTGTAACGGCCGTTGACTGTTTGGTTTGGACATTGCCACAATGCTGAGGAGCGCATGGTCTAGGATTTTTGTCAGATACCTAGAGGGTCATGACGAAGAAAGAATGGTTATAATGATAGTTGAGCATGTTAGTGATAAGCATAATCAGGTGGACATAGTAATATCCTAGAATTTTGGGATCAGGAGCCCGAATGCTCCATATAAAGAGCTCTGCTGGATCATTATCAACTGGGACATTCTGTCTGGTCACAGGCCACGGAATGGCAGGTACGACCGGTAAACGGTCAGGTCGTGGCCACATCTGACCGCTTGTGCTACTCGGCTGGAAGCAGAGATAGGAGGACACCTTGTGCACATGCTATGATCAGTATGGCTCCCCACAGGATATATACACTAACAGAGCCATCGCCTCTGACCCTATCATAACTCCTCTGTGCCTGGTCTCCTTCCTTGCAGAAGACAGAGATGGCTGAATTTTTCAGGATTATATAAATTCAATACAGCCGCCATAGTAAATGGAGGCAACATCACATGTCCCATAATACTAGGCATGTAGTCGATGCCTCAATATTGTCGTCCAAATACCAAACCAACGGTAGACAACTCCCCCAGGTAGCCTCGACCTTATACCCAAGAACAAGCACCAGGGCATAGTTCGCATAACACTCAGCTGACACCTCGCGCCTAGCCAGCCATTAAGATACCAGCAACGAGTAATATAATTCTGACTCAGTTAAAGTTAGTTCACTAAATTGTTAGTGGTCATACGGGCTGGATTAACGTTAAACATCCATGTCAACGAGTCCACAACACCCCTGTAGATAACAGTGTGGTGGTGGCTCGGATAAGTGAGTTTAGTTAGTTAGCTGGCGGGGGTGTAAGCCTAATGCTTTTAGTATGTGTGCGTGAGTGAGTGGGCTTACGGGAACTGCCCGGTAGGTAATTAGTAGTAAATACTGCACAGAGAATAATGGACTCGTCTAATATGTCGAGGGCAAGTTGCAGCCGAGAGCAGAGAGAGAAGCGAGACCAGACCGGTGCCTCGGCTATGCCGTGGATGCATTTCGGTGTAAATAAATCACTCACTTGGTAGTTTAGTTTTGCTGATTTGCAAGCATGCATACATAAGTACAATCCTGCTTATCGTGAATTGAATAGTGTCCATAATGCATCTACGGTATGTACTCGTTCACAACTCTTAGGTAGATTAAGCAGTCTTCAGCGAAAATTGCCCCATAGATAAGCACTGCAGAAAAAGTAGATTAAGGAGGGAGGAGGGGGTGTGAGTGGGAAGGAAAGAGAGTTGTTTGGGACGGACGGGACGGGGATCCATCCATCCATACTTACCATACCCACACCTTGATCACTTTTACAACCCCGCGAACATAAATCCACATCCACACATACACACCATTAACAAGGCAGCGAGACGACGACCCATTGGAGGTTGGGTTGAAAAAAGAGAAGAAAGTGTTTTGTGCCACCAAACTAAATTGCTCCGACCCGGTCGCGGCTGTCAATCCCTCCCGGATTCGCACTGGAATCTGGTCCATCGCGGCGGGGCCGGGACTGGATCAGCTCCAGGTTCAAATGGCTGGACGGGGTTCAACAACATCGCTAAAGGGAGCGATGAGCCAATCAAGAGCGGCAGCGACGGGGAAGGAATGTCAGATTTCCGCCTTCTCCGTCTGTATGAGAGTGGAGCCCGAGAGATGGAGCCCGGTATGGTACTGTCACTCCCGTGACGATTCCCACTAACTGACTAGACTGGGCAACCACTAATTGTGTCTAAGCTAGAAGCCCGTGAGGAACAAGGCAACCCGGTTACACAGGCTGGATGCCATTGGCATCACATAATCTCATGAGTCAGTCCATATCGTGTGGATGATTTGTGGTCGAACAACTTATATACCCATTGACAACTATGCAGACAAAAAGATGTGTGTTTTGGTAAACAGCAAGGAAGGGATGAAAGAAACCAAAGTCCAGACAAAACAAATGCCCCAACCAACTCCACGCGCTTTAATGACAGTCACGCTTGTAGATGAGATATGATCAATGATAAATGGCTAGATAAATGCAGCTTGAGAAAGAGACGGAGATGGAAACAAAACAAAGGAGTATCCCGGTGGTATCGTCGCTTATGTAGAATGAAAATCGAAGGGAATTCAATCCAGTCACGCTAAAGGAGTGCGCCCGCTATGCTGTATGTCAGTCGCCATAGCTCATCTCCGGCGAAGACGATTCGCGCGAAAAGCCGTCAGGTCGATTGATTCCGCCGACTGCGCATCATCATCCACCTCAATGGTATCCATCTTCGTCAGAGATTGCCTGTCAACCTCAATGGTCGTGGCTGCGGGTGCCGCCGTCTCGTCCTCGACTGTTGCTTCCTCGGGCTGTTCTGCCTTCAGACGGCGGACTTCATTGGTAGCCAGGTCTAAAAGGCTTTTGAATTTGCCTTCTACGCTGGTCAATTCCGCCGAGCAGTCTCCAGATCGGAGAAACTGGTGTGCAGCCGTCTCACACACTCCGTGTACCAGTTCCAGCTGCTTCTCCGCCATATCAAATGCAGACTCTTTGGGTATGTCCTGGGCGCGAGGCACCGGAGGACCTCGGTTGCGGGCTTTGCGGATGCTAGATAGCACATCGTCTTCGCCGGACTCGGAGGGCGAAAGTGAAGGGGCCAAGCTATTCATCCTTGCGCCTCTGTCCAACATCTTGCTGCGGTACCCTGGCAATGGCAGTTGCGACATTTTTCCTTTCCGAATGTTGTTGCGAGCTGTCCCAATGTGGCGCACCATTTCTTCCAGAACGTGTTGTGTGTGGCCGTCATAGTGGATAATGAGGTTGTTGCGCGTACTCACAAGCGGGTTCCTGTCCCTGGCGTCCATAGAGGGCGCATCTTCAGCACCGCGTTTACGAGGGTTCACATTGGCTTGGTGTTGGGAGGTATCAGGCGTCGTGACGGTGGTATGCGTTGCCGCTGCAGAAGATCGAGGGCGGGTTTCCGTTTCGGGCGCCGACGAGCGCAGGTCCTCGGTTCGAATGGAGCAGACCGAGCTGTTCTTGCGACGGCGCGGTCTCACCGTAACATGTCTTCTGTAGTCCTCGGCATATTCTGCGTGTTTTGCGGCGGTGTGGGCAGATAACTCTGCAAGTCGATCGATCCAGGAGGGAATGTTTTCCGTAAGGTGGGTGAAGGCCCCCAGGGCGTCCATTTGAGCGGGCATAATGTGATTCAATAGAAAAGCAACATGTGCTTTGTAGGCCGGATTTGTACTTCCGGGCAGAAATCAAATGTGTGGATTAGTGGTCCACTAAGCCCACTTTGTTAGTTCCAGCCGTCTCGGTCGCGAGCAAGGGAGATGTAATAAAAATTGATTCGAAGGCGGATTGGGTAATGGACAAGTAGCGAAATCGTTTCGTCGTGGAGTCGTGAACGGCCGATGGGCGGTGGTGGTGAGGACAAAGGTGCAGGGATTCAGGAACCTACGACTGTTCCATGGATCGGGGACTGCGCACGAGAGCGGTGTCGAACTAGTGGACGGGAGGAGGAAAATAAGATACCGGGGTAGAAGAAGGTAGAATGAACGATGGAAAGGCAGAGGTGACTGGCACTACGGGAGCGAACCACGATCAGGAGGTGAAAAGAAGGGGGGGAAAGAAAGGAGGGCAGAAGAGAGAAGCAATGGAAGGAGAAGTGAGTTGGATGTGAAGGAGCTGACAGGACCGAAGAAGAAGAAGAGGAAGAATACTATTACTATTACTATTACTGCGAGGGAGAGTGACGTCCCCGAAAGTGAAGCCCGAAGCGTGGGTCTGAGCCATGCAGCAGGATGCATTACCGTAATATTTCAGCCCGCCCTTTCACATGACGATGACCAGGGGATACCAGATTACCTGTATGCATACCAGTATGTTGTGTGGACTAGAGCCAAAGTAGTAAGCAATGTTCGGTATTATGATTAAGATTCCTCGATATGCTTCCATTGACAGGGGTCCCCCTGCCAGTGCCGGCCACTCGGGCAATCCCATGGCCGGTTCCACTCCCTCTTCCCTCTCCTTTGTCATGGTTCGGGGGCCCCGGATTGGTTCCAGGCTGGTTGTCTTACGAGACAACCAAGAGTGTTGTGCGACTACACTAAAAGTACATAAGTATTCGTTGCAAACCCCCCAACTGGTTTACTAAGTCCTTGCTAAGACACCACCAGACCAGCGGTGAGTGTTTTCATCCTCTGTATCTTTACCATCGTGAGGGGAAACCCAGATCATAATAAGCATCATAAGGTGATTGTCAGTGAGGAGCAGAAAGAACGAGCAGCACTGCAGTACTAGTGTCAGGCTGAGTTCGGAGGAAACTAGTACTATCTCTAGACGAGCTTCCGTCACAGATGAAACCCGACCGACACCAGCAAGGCCTTCCAGAAATGAGGTCCCCGTGTATGGCATTCTGGAAGCTTTCCTCCCCATATATTCCAAACACGTCCAGTGACAGTTTCATCCACAATAACTGTAAGTAATGTAGTCAAAAATTCGGGCAGAACACGTGCCGACACAACACCACCCGTCACAGAGAACATCTATCCCTTTCCACTTCCACCCCCGGACTAGCCATCATCATCAGTCCATCAATCACTACAACTCAACCATTCCATCGACATGGGTCTGCATCAAGCCATTGTCCAATGTCGCAGCTGCAAGAAATGGACGTGAAATCTCCGGTCAAAGCCGAAGGCCATCCAAGACTCGCTAACGGCGACTTTACCCAAGAAAGTCATGACACGTAACGGCCTGTGCCCACGGCCAGGCAGGGATCTCAAGACGAGTCAGAGCTCTCGGAAATGACCAGGATATTCTACTACCCTTGACTGACAGCTGCCTCGACCACTGTAAGGCCGCGACCCGCCCAGGATTTCTCCCATCATGTCTTGCTCACCTTGTTGGATTGGGCTGCGGGACCGCCGATCGTCCCGCACGGAGCCGTGGGATGGCAGAAGCCATCAAACATGGTTGGCTTTGTTCGGACATGTTATGCTGTGATCCAAGTAATCCTGGAGAATGGTCCTGGGCATGATGACTTGTTCGTCCATGATTCCTGGGTTTCGGTGTACAGGATACTCGACTACCATGTCATTCCGGTCTGCTGATTGCATTGCGAGGTTTCCCCCGCCCTACGGTACTTTGGAGCAGTGCAGCACGTTTGTTCCGCTGCACACCATTCGGCCGCCGCCAGTGGCAAGTCAGGCAATATGTTGATGCATTTCATTATTATTCCACTAAAATACCCCATACTAAGACCATGAGGTGTTTTTACCCATCTCTAGCTTGTTTAATCCGAATAAACCCTCGGGCTAGGCTGGCATCCAAACCAATCCATGACGCCAGACACTAGCTGCCTCCCTAACGCCAAAATCAAATAAGGCCAGCAATAGACAAGAAGCCCCTTGTTAACTCCATAAAGAACAGATACCACATGACGGGCTGGTTGAAACGGATGCAGAAAGAATTGATCCGTATCGACCATCATGCCCTTCCTTGTTCCCAAAGCTCTATCCATTTATTCAGTATATACCGGATTTCATCGACGGTATCCTTGGCCGCCTTCCATTTGTCCTCGCAGTCTGCTATCTTGTCTTGTAGCTGCTGGTCCAAGTGCTTGAAAGCCGTCACTCGTGACGCCGCAACGAGGCTATCCTTTGGAAAGCCATAATTCTTATCCTTCGCTCGCTTTTGTGGGACCTCTCCTTCCTCGTCTTCCTCTTCTATACTAGGTAGAGCCCCAGCTTCAGCATCGCCCGGCAATGTCTTGGATGGCCTGCCTCGTTTCTTTGGTGTCGATTCACCTGTTTCGGTGTTAAACTCGGCATTCTTAAACTTGAGCTTGATGCGCTGACCCTCTTCAGATCCAGTTTCGTTGCCGCTGACATCGCCATCATTCTTCTTGGCCCTCTTAGGGTTGGCCCCTGGTTCAGCAGTCTGCTTGCGTTTCTTAGAGGGCTGGGAAGCTCCTTGTCCTTCCGCATCTATGCGAGTTTAGCAAGAATAAGTCATACGGATTTTTGATGGCACCCACCTGGAATAACGCTGCGATGCACGCACCGTCTCTTTGCTTTCTTGCACGGAGCACATGCCGGCGTCAACTTCTCCTTCGGGCTGTTATTGGAATCGCTGGAAGATTCCATCTTCTTGGACTTCTTGGTGGCCTTTGAAGTTTTCTTTGGAGGGGTAGTAGGGGCAGGCTGAGCGGGGGGTGGTTGGGGAGCAGAAGGGGACGGAGGAGCTGAAGCAGCCTTGGCTGTGGCAGATGAAGCTTCGGAATTATCCTAACAAACGACCGTTAGCGCTGCTCCGCAAAATCCAACAAGGGGGAACCCACCTGCTGGGGGGAAGCTTCAGCAGACGGAGCCATCTTCAAAGCAGTGTCGTCCTGCGAGTCGGATGTTTCCGTTTTGAGTATGACTGATTCAGCGGCAGTACACGTGGGACAGTTGTCTGAGACGTCGCAGTAGCCTCGACACTCGGGGCAAATGAGCCTACCACCTTCAGTGGACGAAGACATTCTATTGGGGTTGAGGGTTGTTTGTTCTTGGCTTACACCACGGAGGATGTTGATACAGGGAGGGAGTCGATTTAGCTATGATTTATAACGGTAGGACAGAGTGGATAATTATGTCTGATGGCTATAGCCGATTTATAGATTGATCCCGGCATGAAACACAACGAGGTTGTCTTGATGCCGGTGGTTCTTTGTGCTAATTGTGTGTTTCAGGATACAACGCTTCGGAATTGTCCACAAAACGCGCCGCTTTATTCAGACAAACAACAAAGAAGACAAACAGTATAATGCCTCGGTTTATCTCACCGCTACAATCAAAGACTACCAGGCTTTATCATACACTCCATTTACTCACTGTTAATACAGCGTACAAAGATACCTTCAATTTGATCTACAATGAAACCTCATACCATCACTTTTTTATCATCCCGACAAAAATAGCATGAAGGAAAGAATAATGTATCAAAATCAAGGCCACAAATCCACCTCCTCCCACTCCTCCCCATCCCTCACAGCCGTCCACCTCGTCCTAATCGGATTCGAAGGATCATTAACATCCAACCTCTCGACCTCCTCCGGCCGAATCACCACAACCCTGAAATTCTCCCTCGCAACCTTATCCTTAAGATCCTCCACCTTCTGCCCCAGCTTCAACTCCGGATGTCCGGGATCCTGAGTCCTGGGTGTCCCAGGAGGTGGATTCTTAAAAGTCCCTACAGTCACCACCCATTAGCACCGCATACCTCCCCCCAAAACACATAGACCAAAGAAAGAAGATGATGGGAATAAACGTACCTCTCATCCCCGGCGAATGATTCGCAAAATACATATCAACCTGCCTCTCCCAACTCCACCCTTCCCCATCCCTAACCTTCCTCAACCCCTTCTCAACGAACCCCCTCCCCTCCACTTCCTTCTCCTCCCCCTCCTCACCCCCAATAATACTTGCTCTCCCCCTAACTCTCCACATATTCCCCACCTCCCTCAACCAAAACACCGCTTCAACCACACCCCCCGAGCTCTCCAATTCCTTGACCTTCTCCATCCGCTTATCCGTCGTGAGGGCGAGCATCTCCGACTCGTAGATATCGGGGTTCAGGCCGATGTGTTGGTCCTTCAGGGATTGGATTGCCGTGGGGTGCAGGTTTAGGGTTGGGAAGAAGCCCCGGAATTCGACGGTGCGGGAGCGGGGGGAGGGGGAGGGGGTAAGAGGGGGGAGGGAGAGCGTGGTGAGGGTTATGGAGGTGGAGGTGGGGGAGGAGGTTAGGTGGGTTGTTAGGAGGGGGAGGTAGGGGGCTGGTTTGGGGGGCATTTTTATTTGGGTTTGGGTGGGATTGGGGGGTTTTGGTGGTATTGGGTTGGGTTGGGTTGTGAGTGAGTGAGTCAGTGGGATGGGATGATGATGAGGGGAGCTAGATGATAGCTATTGCATGACGTTAGATGTGTGTGGTGAGTGGTGTGTTAATAGCGGTAGGCACGTGCTGTTATCTTATCTGATCTGTTGGCTGGTTGGTTGGTTGGGTTGGGAATTGGTAAGTAGTGTTTGAGTTGTGGGTGTGAAGATAGTTATGAGATGAAATAATTACTTATTCGGTGATGAGGTCTAGTAGTAAAGACTCTTCTAATATGTTATTGGGAAATGTTGTTCATTTGCTGTGTATGGAATGTGAGAAGTATCATGTCCATGGAATCGAACTTGGCGGTAGCTGGTAGTATATATATATATAGTACTACAGTAGTACTTACTCATGCATACGCGTAGTAATGTACTGGTACTTAGAAGTAGTACTAGCAATGTAGTGCTTTAAAAGAGATGATTCACTGGTGTGTTTAGTAGTAGAAGTGGGAAAGGAGATATAAATTGATTGGGTACTAGCTCTACGTAGTGATGAATTAGTATCGTGAAGATGAGAGGAGCAGTTCTTACTTGAACTTAAGAAAGTCCCTCCACTCTACTACTGGAACGGGCCCAATTACTACTAGTAGTATGACTTCGTGTCTATCGAGAACAATCCTAGTTACGGCTGGAAATAACTCGATAGTGTACTGTTCCCTACTGTACCATTGACACCAAAAAGTAGTACATCTCGATATAACTAAATGAAAAGGTATTTTATTGCCAAACACCGTGCCTCCATTCAGCACTAAACCATAATAAATATACCACAATAATGCACAAACAATCCCAGCAGAAACAAAGCACCCATGCTCAGCTATCTATGTCTGCATCTCCTCATCACTATCAGCATAATCCAACGCACCCCCAGGTATCCGCCCCTCATTCAACTCCTTCTCCAGCCTCGAAATCTCCTGCAAACTCTTCGCCTCGCGAATCATCTTCTCCACCCTCTTCCTCTCCTTCTCCGTCAACTTCACCCGCACCGCCTTATCCGCGGGCGCTCCACGATCCGCGCCGCCAGCACCCGAGGGCACATCGAACGTGCGAGACTTAATTCCCATGATCTTGGACGCCAGCGCGGACGGCTCCTCAGCTGTGCCGAACAACTCGGTGGCTTTTTCGCGCTCCGCGTCTTTCACTTTCTGGTAGTCGAGGAAGCGGACGCTGGGGATGCGCCAGATAACGTAGTAGCGGTAGTGCTATACCGATACCAACAACATTAGACTTGCTTTGCTTGGATCTCACCAGAAAAGGAAGAGGCAATAAAAGAAGGGCACGCTTACCTCCTTCCTAGTAACAGGATTCTCCAACAACACCAAATGCGTCAACTGAACCAAATTCCTAAGCGGATCCAAATCCGCCAACTCGTTCATGTTATTCGCCGTCAAGACCAGCGCGCTCAGATTCGGCACCGAGGATGATATCGTCGGCTGGATCTGCTTGACTCGGTTACGCGCGAGGAGGAGGGTGCGGAGACGAGGGAAGAAGGGAAAGTTTCCGAGCGAGGTGATATCGTTGTCTGTTAGGTCGATCGCATCTTGGTCCTACACACATGGTTAACTTCCATACCAAAGATAATGCTGCAGAATATCCCAGGAGATAAATTAGTTGGGGCTTACCTTGGCAATACCCAAGTTCTCAATAGCGGGTATCTTGTGCCCTATACGACTCAAACACAAAACCGATATCAATCAAGCTCATCTCAAAAGTGTAGTATCTGTTCTTTTCAGGACTGGTGGCTGGAACGCACCTCGAAGATCTAGCTCGCGGTCTTTGAGCGGGTTGATGTACGACAGGGAATTTTGGATCAGTTCGACGGTCAATCGCATGGTGGCAGTGGGATTCGAGAACGGGTTCTATTGGGGTATCATGCACGAATAAGGAGAAAGTGCGCGGAAGCGACTGGTATAGAGGAAATAGTAGATTGAGGAAAAGGTCAATTGAAGTAGCGGGGATGATGAGATTGAGACGGAGCTCTGTCGCGCATCTGGACTATCTTCCCTGCTGTTGCTGATTTTGCCCGGGCGGTGAGCCGCTGTTCAGCTACACAGAGCGGCTCACGTGAGCAGTTCCACTATAACACATTTACGCATTCACTATGAAGATGAGCACTTTAAAATTATTTTCTTTATTTGTATTGATTATGACTCTCATCAATAGTCTAGTATAATAAAAGTTGAAGAGTAGCTATGTACTCCGGAGCACGCCCCTGATAATATGGCACCAAGAAGCAAAGGACTATTATGCGGTCATACGCCGGCTTCAAGCAGCGACCTGGACTTGCAGTCTCTCCTGCAAGTCATGAATAAAACAGAACCAAACGCCAGAGTGATGCAACATTGGCAACATAAACATAATCATACAGCAGCATTAGTCGTCTGCTAGAGGGGTCATAAGTGGTGACTTGGGATGGGATCTCGACGGACTGCCTGCGCGAGAGCGGCGTCCATTGGTTGTCGGTCCCAATGCCAGAGGTGCCAGATGATCCCTGCTCTCGGTCCTCACGACCAGCCCATGTCGATCCATCGCGTTGGCTCCTGACCCAGCCGATATTCCGAGCCCAACCGTCCCGGATGAGGAATTGTCCAATGCATATTTGAAGGTGGGTGTTGTATTACCACTGCCCCAGCTGGAGGCCCGCTTGGGGGCCGTAAACCTGGCGGCATCGGCTTCAGACGGACGCCCCCCATCAAATGAGCTGCGGCTGGATCCGCTCGCACCGAGATCGAATTCCTGAGCGCCTTCCTCAAGAACGCGCTCATATGTAGGGCTTCGAGGACCAAAGAACGGGATCTTGCCACCAAACATCCTCCTCCGCTTGGGGTAATTTGGATGAGACGGACCACCCCAACCAAAGACGTTCTTGATCTTGTGGTAGACTTTCAGACGACGGCTTCGTCCACAAAGGAAGAAGGCCACCAATATCACGATGAGAAGAAACAAGACGAAGCCCGGGGCTCTGCGGGACGAGCTCCCTTCGAGCAGCGCATCATGCCACGTTGTGCCATGGATGCCTTCGGGACTGGGCAGCAACTCCACGCTGGGGTACTGGAAATCGCTAGGAACGCCGGCAACATTGCTGCCAAAGCCGACAGGAAGTGCTTCTTCTGTTTCCAAGGGAACCTGAGACGAGGCATAGAGGACCATCTTGCCCAGGGTCCAACTGACCTCGGTAGAGTCGATCTTGTTCACGGCCTGGAAGGAGTCCAAGTAGCCTTTGCTTTGGCCGTGGGACAGCACTTCCTTGGTTCCGTTGTGACCCGAACCTGCAATGTCCTCTAGTCCCACGCGCGGAATCCCGATACCATCATGCAACACGTTCATGATCCAGGAAGCCTTGAAGCAAATCTCCGAGGCCGACTCCCGATCGAACTTCTTTCCCCATTGGTGGGCTTCGAGACCGCTTTCCACGGTCACCCAGTCTTGCGAACAGAATGATCGCACACGCTCCTGGTAAGTGGCAAAGTCGTAGGCTTTGTCCTTGTGACCCATTTCGAACGCCTCGTGAGTCGTATGCCAATACTCGCTGATGCCGACAAAATGGTTGACATCGAAGTCGATGGCCGGAACATGCATCCCGTGCAGAAGACAGGGTTGATCGGGGCAAGGCGCGTCTTTGTCTAATAACGGGTATGTTTGTCGCAGACACTCATCGAACTTGCCAGTTCCCAGCAAATGCATTCCGTCAATGTCATCCGCCGCGAGAAGCTTGCCATCGATCGTGGTGCGTAACCCAGACGGCAGACACGGGTCAGGAAGCTCCTTGACGTCTCCAATAGCGCTGGCCGCTTGCAATGACTCCAGATAGCGTCTCCGCGCCTCGTGGACGCCGAATTCGAGCCACGAGGTGACAAAGACCCTGTGTTCCTGGGTCGATCCATCGACATTGCGCAGCCGTAAGAGAGTCAAATCATTCGCATGCTTCTCGCTTTCAGTCGCATTTGGAGCAAACGCGATCTGCGCAGACGCACCACCCATGTCCAGGAAGCCGTACGTATGGTGTCCCTTGCCGTGATCGTGCGTGCCTGGGGAATCGAAACTTCCCAGCAGATAGTTTGTGGCGACCCATCCGTACAAGCCCTCGGTGACACCCGGAATGACTTGAATATGGACTCCGCAGTCGGGAAGCAGAAAATCCGAGTTCGAGCCGACATAGGAGCAGATCTGTTCGAGTAGGAGGTTGCGCTGTACGTCAGGAAGCAGTCGCATTCCTGCAGTCGCGAGTAGAAAGATGGGGGTATCCTTCACGGCATCATCGGGGACGATCTGTTTCGCGTGTTCGAGGAGTTCTGCCAAATGTTCAGGACCGACTTCTTCCGGTTTATCGGCAAACGACGACACTCCTATAAGACCAAGGCATTAGTATGGACCTGAGACGTAGCGCAGCCATCCACCAGACGTACCGGGATGTATCTTCTTTGTCCAGTCGCTTTTCGTTTTCACTTCGGGCAAGGTCTGCAGATGCTTTCCCTTTTCCCGCGCGACAGCATTGTCCAACCAGCGATAGACATGGACTCGAGTTCCCTATCTCTGGGATTAGAGTTGGCGCAGAGGTGTATATGGCCCAGTATTACTTACGGACGAACCCGCGTCCAGAACGACTCCATATCGGTCTATCCACCAGATATCCGTCAGTCTCCATATAGGCGAGAATCAAGGACTATGCGACGGGTGCTTACGTTTGCCCATGAGGATGTCGAGAGAATGATACACGTGAATTAGTTGCAGTTAAGACCGCCAACCATGACAACTCGAGTGGAACCGCGAAAGGGTGCAAGGCTTATTATGGGCGTGTGAGTGGGACGGGGGCGAAGTCGTGGGCTGAAAGTGTAGTATGGGAGGTGGGACGACGATGCGGACAAATTGATTACAAGGTCTAATGTGAGGGCGAAGAGTGTATGTCGGGAGACGACGGAGAAGAAGTCAAACGAATGGCCTTGCTGAGAAGCAGCAAGATAACGACAACAAAGTCAAAACGAAGCCAAAGCCAAAGTGCAGGCCTGGGGAAGGAGAAGGAGGAGAGGAAAGGGTGGGGATAGTAGCAAGCAGGAGAAGGGGAGGGAAAAAGAAAAGATAAGGCCTCGTCTTGCCTCTCGCCGGGAACGGCTGGCTGACGCGACCAACTGCTGGCCTAAGGCTTGCCGTTAGTCCCGATCGGGCAAGGTCGGGAAGATGCGATCCCGTCTGGGAATGGGTCCAGCTGGAATTAATTTAAAGATGAAATGAGCTGCCGGTCCACCTAGCTTTGCGGAAAAATTAGAATCTCGTTGATCATTCAAATATAAAGAGTAACTATTGCATACATATTCAATAGACATGTCAATACATCTTCATCGCTATAAACTGAAGCGGAACAAGAGAGCGCACCCATCTTGAATAAATAAAAAAAGTTTTGAAAGAAAAGAAGAAAATAAGGGTCTGGGCCAGCCAAGAATGCAACCCCGGCCCGCTTGACGTAAGCTCGCCAGCCTTGTTGCGCCATCCCTCTGCAATGATTGGCTGAGAGGCTCGGTCGGCGATTCCCTCCCCCGCCATCCATCCTCTCATTCTCTCCCTCCTCCCTCCTTCTTGATTCAAAGTTGTTGTGTCTGTTCTGGGGTGACGACAGATGTGCCAGACCAGCGGGTAGAACTGGAGTCCTTGGACCCCGAGATCGACACCAACCAACTACATTTGTGAATAACCTGCCATTCGCGTGAAAGTTTACTCCGCAGGGAAGACATACGCAATCGAGGGGATCATCCGTCGGATTGCGAATACATGCACCCTCAAAACATCGTATTTATGCAGCGTAGCTTACAGAGTAGGTATCTGTGCTCTTCGCAGGGCCAATGACGGAGTACTATCTGCCGATTTAGAGCATGGTAGCACAACAGCTGGGCTTATAGCCATCACATGTTATTCAGTCACGTTGCGTTGCCATAGCATCTGATGATGAAGTTCTGCTTTTTGGTACTCTGTATCCATCTGCATGTCGGCATGGATGATGTGACAGGGAATAAAATCAATCTGAAATCCGCCTCCACTTGATCGACCCCACTTTATGAAGGAAGCCAAGACTTCTTGGAAGTATATCGGCCATGTTATTGTCCTCTGTCCCTCGTGCGGAGAGTATAATCGAAGAGATCACTGGAAGGATAGGAAATATTTTGTACTACTGGAGAGATCCTTTTCCCAAGGGACGTAGGAAAAGTGAAAGAGTTATCATCGGATATTTTTAGATCATTTGGTGTTCACCCTCGTATAGCATGACGCGGCCATGGGTGTGCTGCATCATCATCTGGTGCCGTCCCCGATGCCTGACTTTTGTCTCCAGCAGGTGAAAGCGTAACCCAACGCTGAACCCCTCCTCTTTGCCGTGCATTGCACCTGCAGGCACTATTATAAGCATTGCGTCGGTGGATTAAAACAAAACAACTACATGACTGGCTACCCCGTCAGCAGGCCGAATTGGGTTAACGGACCGTCCTATAGTTGCATTTCCCTGCATACAGACCGAACTCTATCATTTATCTATCCCAAAAGCAACATAGATAGCTTCTACATATTCTATAGATCGCTCCCCTTTCTTTCCTGGCACTCTGTCACGCTCGTTGACGACACTTTGGGTACCCCGACCAGCGTGGGACTTGCCGAGCCATGCACCGTCATCGACCAATCTCCGATCTGTTCGTCGAAGAACTGAGTCCGATCCAGTCCCAGCATTTCATCCTCATCACTCACTCGCAAATGCATCCCAGGAATATACTTTAGGATGAGAAGCATAAGGTAGGACACGACGAAGGAATACGACGAGATGGCGCAGATCTCCGCCAACTGCTTTCCAACCTGGACTCCATTGCCATCGATCGCTCCTGGTGATAGCGTGCTGCCATCCAAGGCCGAGATCTTTTCGCTTGCAAAAAGTCCCGTCAGGAAAGCTCCCACCATGCCACCAAGACCGTGCAGCTTAAACACATCCATGCCCTCGTCGACATTGATCCACTCGTTCACATTCTTGAGGGAGGAGCATACAATGGCGGTGATGAAACCGATGCATGCTGCGAGCCATAGCGAGACACAACCAGCCGCTGGCGTGATCCCGACCAAGCCAGCAATCGCACCTTCGCAAGCACCAACGAGTGTGAACTTTCCTTTGTACCGGATCATGTCGACCAGAACCCATCCGAGAATACCTGTGCAACCGGCGGTGTTGGTGTTGAAAACAGCAACCATGGCACGCATGCTGGCGTTGAGACTCGAACCTCCCTAAGATCATATTGCTGTTAGACGAGAATACTAAAGAAAAGGGGACCTCACGTACATTGAATCCCAACCATCCAGTCCAGATCATCACGGTCCCGAGGAAGACCAGGGTTGTATTGTGCGGTTTGCGAATTGAAGGGTCGCCGTGATCCCTACGCTTTCCCAGAACCAACGCATAGGCCAGAGCTGTACACCCAGAAGCAATGTGTACGGGACCGCCTCCCGCAAAATCAATGGCCGGCAGATTGTAGAGCCATCCGTTACTGCTCCATGTCCAGCGGGCTAGCGGGCAGTAGACTATGGTTGCCCAGAAGAAGCTGAAGATCAATGAAGGTACAATGCCACCTCGTTCAAAGGCACCTCCAACGACAATCATCACCTGCTGGCCTTAGTACATCGCTTTTGTATTACTTGATCAAACTCACTGTGCATGCGCAAAAGAGGAGCTGAAACAGACAGAAAACGACCTCCGGTAAGACCGCGGAGCCGGGTGAGGGCGCCACCAAGACATCAATTAAGCCAAAGTTCTTCAGTGTACCGATAAAGGGTCCGCCATCTCTTGAATAAGCAAGAGAATACCCCCAAAACAGCCATTGAAATGTAGATCTATATAATGATTAGCGTTGCGCTAAATAACAAGCAGGTCGCGACTGGCAAACTGACACTGCGAGAACCATGAAGGCTTGGAAGAGAAGAGCCAGCGCGGATTTCCTCCGTGATAAGCCGCTGTAGAGCATCCCAATCCCCGGTAAAATAAGGAAGACAATAAATGTGCAGGTAGTAATATAGACATAGTTGTACTCAAATCCGGTGTATTGCGCGTTCACGTCGACCTGGGTAGGATCACCGCCCTCCGGCGTTGAGGAATTATAGACTGGCTGTTCCATTGCATGCACATTAGCAAAACAAGTCTGAAAATATCACTGTCTGTCGCAAAAGTCAACACTCACTTCAGCCATGATAAGCGAAGAAACAAAGCGGTGGCAAGCCTTTATGATGAGCAGACTTTCAACATTTATCCCCAGACTGTTTCGGGTCTGCTGTGCTTGAGGGGCCATTCACTTAAATAGTATATCAAATCACGGGCAGTGAGCTGAATTTGAATCTCCTCCCTGCACATTGACCGCATGGTTTCTTGGCTGGACCCATTATGAGATGGGGCATATGCGATATCTTACTCCGTAGATAACTTCAGCTGCAAGTGGTTGGCTATTCCGAAATGTAAAAGAGATCGTTATCTGAGCCAAGAACCCAAACACATACAAATAGTCGGTCTCGTCGCACAGAAACCTTCGTTTTGGATGACTTGCGGTCGCCTTCTGCTGCTATCGAGAAGTCTGATCCCAGATGCCAAGGTGGACGATCACAAAAGCAGGGGAACCCATATTGATAAGGGAAGAGGAAGGAAATCACAACGATGACTGATTGGCTCTGTTGCAAATCCCGGATCGTACATCCCTCTGGGGTTTAGGGTATCTCAAGAAGGCTGAGCTGGTAAGAGCGATGTGATGTAGCCCATGCATGCGAAAGCCGTCCTGTGATTGGCGAGAGATAACAGCCCGGCATATCGGTGTTTCTCGCTTCCTCCAAGGCTAGCACGATGAGTAGGACTCTTCAGCTCCAATGGTTAGCACCTGTACCCTGCATTTCAGCCAGGAGCTGGAGCGCCATGATATACGATCTCGTGGCTGAACGATCAGGTGATGGATGAGGCTGCCCAGGATTCTGAGTGGTGCTGCATACAGTTGGAACTCCGCACAGAACGTGCTAGCCACGCCGTCCAGAGGCGGGCCCAAGCTAGAGACAATAGTCCGACATGAGGAATCGGGGCTAGATATGAGACAATCTCGTGATCCCCAGTCAGATGGCAGCGCTGGTGATCTACAACAATCTCCTGTTTCAGCCTTGTTGGCGTTAGCCAAGTAGCCAGATGCCCCCGGCTTTTTAGCTTTCAGACCAGCCGGTACGGATATGCTTATATCGTCTATGCACCTATTGTATCTCTCATCTTCACATATGTTGGAGGGAGGAATTTAGGTTGACATCCAAGCGGTGGTTGCTCACGAGCCAAGACTGACGATCACGGCGGTTGATTATCCGGGAGTATTGCGGGGGCGAAAATCATGGCACAATATAGATCTGCAAGACCTGATTCATGTTAATTTGATGACCACTCAATGGCCTTCGTGCCTGGATGCAGAAACCCACCGGCGCAGTAAGGGGGAGGATCTGAAGGATCCCAAAACACGAGGAAAAGGATCCGGTAACCTGACAAGTCGTATTCGTCAGCAGCAAGTAATCCGCAATGCTTAGTATTGTTGTCTCTGAGTATGCTCTTCGTAGCTTGTTCGATCGGTATTCCTCGTAAATTCCTTCCTAGTCGATCGTGAGTACAGGCCGATTGGGTGTGCGGGGACCCGAGCACATACCTAATTTGTAGAAGTTGTATTGGTTCCATCGACCTAGTAGTACCAAGGCACACCCAAGGTCAGGTACCAGATCCAGCCTTGTTAAGGCACATTGTCCACAGGGTAAACGGCGTCAACATATCCTCTCTCAGCTGCCTCTGATCTGAGAGCAGGTTCCGCCCGGCATCTTCGGAAGCACGCCCCTCCTGGCGAAACTCAAGTCTTGCAAGGTCCCAGACGATGGAAGAAACCTCATCTTCTTTGTCCAAGGGATCCAATCAGGTCGAATCGCCCCCAACGGGTGTGGCTGACTAACGCGAGCAGGAAGCATTAGTGTCATCCTCTCATTGCCTCATCCTAGTTTCTCCCCATTTTTTAACCATCACCCTGGCCATGTCTCTCTTGATTCTCGCTGGCTAGGTAGCCGGTTCGCATATATAGCCTGCAGAATCTTGGCTGAGATCCAACATGTCATCTTCAACCATGGGCGTCCAGGAACCAGCGCCGAAGAAAAGGACCCGGGTCAGTCACACCAAAGTGCGTACGGGTTGTCGGACCTGTAGGTACGGAGTCACCGTGGGCCTTCATTGTTTGCTTGTGCATGGGGACCACCGTTAATGTGGATCATGTAGGATTCGCCATAAGAAATGTGACGAAACCCGACCCATCTGTCGCATGTGCAGCAGCACTGGTCGGATATGCGATGGATACCAGCAAACCATCGATAGAAGAACGCGCGCTTCCAAGCTCCGGCTCGCTTCAACATCGCCGTCATCGACTAGCAGCTCATCTTCAACGGTGAGCGTGCCGTCCCTAGTGTCGGATCTAATCTTACACACCAATGAAATCGACCTCACCCGGCAGGAGCGTTGGTATCTCGATTTCTTCCGCAGGAATACCGCTTTTCAATGTTCCGGTTACTTTGATGATGACTTCTGGCTACGTCTAGTCCACCAAGTCACCGAAGCCGAGCCAGCAGTCCGCCATGCTGCCATCGCATTAAGTGCCCTCCACTGTAACTTTGAGCGCACCAGTACCGGTCAGGGGGCCATAGACAGCCGCCTACCTCTCCAACAATGTGTCAAAGCAATATCCTCACTGCGACACCAGCTAGCGGGTGGAGTTCCATCCAGCGCTAACATGGAAATAACACTCGTGACCTGCGTATTGTTCGTCTCATTCATGTTTCTGCAGGGTGATACGCACTCTGCCTGTTGTCACTTGCGTGGTGGTCTCAAACTTCTTAAAGAATGGAGAACCACCGGCAAACCGGGATATTCTACCACGGGTACAGTACTGATGAAAGTGTTTGCCCGTCTACAACTACAATGGTCGACTTTTGCCGACGAAGTCTTCGTTGAGGAGGTGGATAGTAACCGCTGCGACGCCCCCTACATGGAGGTCAACGACCTCAGTCTTGAAGAGCCGACCGACAGCTTAGAAAAAGCCGGCAGCCTACTCGTCAGACTAGGCCGACTGGTACTGACTCCTAATCCCTCCGACCCCTCCTCACCAGGCTACTGCACCGTCCTAGACAGCAGACGCATGGCCATCCTCAATAAGCTTCAGAACTGGACCACAGAACTCGACAACTCAATGACATGCACCGGCAACACCCTACTCCTCCGCGACAGCACCATCCTCACCGTCCTCAAACTCTGGAGCGAAATTATCTACATCATGGCCGCGACAGAAACGCGTCTCGGTGGCAGTGAAACTCGCTTTGATGCTTTTCACCTCAACTTCGGTCGAGCCGTAGCCCTTGCCAAGATCCTCCTCCTCTCCACACCTACCCAATCAACCATGCCCAACTTCTCCATCGGAATGGGCATCATTCCTCCACTTTTCTTCTGTGCCTTCAAATGTCGCGACTGGTACATACGGCGAGAAGCAGTACAATTACTCCGCAGTTGTCAGAGACAGGAAGGTCTCTGGACTACACCGGGGGCTGTGCTCGTCCTGGAACGATTGATCGAGATCGAATCTAAAGGCCTCATGCCGGGAGATCTGGTTCCAGAGTCACGCCGCATTGACTCGATACATGTGAACATCCTTCCAGATGATCATAAGATTGGGTTATGGTATCGTCGATCGGGCCGGCAGATGGGATTGGACGGCTATGTGGATGTCGGCTCGGGGATGTGGGAGAAGGCATTACTGGATTATCATGTGGGGTAATGCTTTGGGGAACGATAAATAAACACCTCGTAATGGAATTCGGTGGTAGCATTGTAAACCTAGATTATATTATGTATTAGATACCAATTTGTTATGGCGTTATTTCAACAATCAATAAATCATTTCTGATTGAAACCGGACTGAAAATCATAATCAGCAGTCGCTGCCTGGTATTACCACCCTTACCAAGTGCAAGCTTCATCACTGCCACTTTACAACCTTGTATCTCACATTTATGGGATGCATGCCAACCTCAGCCTGCCAACCTCACACTACCGCTAATAAGCAAACGCCCTTCAACACGATACTGACAACAATCAAACATTTAAACAATATCAATTAACACTCATTACAATAGGCTATATGAAACAAACCCGCCCCTCTCTCTTCCATCCCTTCTATATCAAGTCACTACTACTACTACTACTACCACTAAACCTAATACCACTGACACCTCACCACCGGATTAAACATACTCACACTCAACGCCCCATAACAATCATGCACCTTACTACTCCCATAACTCTCACAATCGACCGTCTTCCCCAACTGCGGACAAGTAAACGTGCCGGGCTCATCACTCGTCCCCTTATACACACAATCCTCCATATCATGGATCTTAAAATCCAACTTCTTCGTCCCATCGGGATACGGCGGATCCACCACCTTGATATTCCCACTGGCCTCAAGCTCGCCCGCCTCCGCATCCTTACAACAGTCAATTGAGGAGCCGATGTCCGGCGTGAAGAACGACCAGTAGCTGTACACGTCGGAGAGGTAGGCAATGACCATTTGGGCCGTGGGCGTCGGCGTCGGCGCCGTGTAGATCGTGCTGCTGGTGCCGGCGCATTTCGTGTACGTGAAGGTCGAGAAGTAGCTTAGCGTGGAGGTGGCGCAGACGAGGACGTCGCTGTTGAGTTCGGTGGTGGTGAAGGGGGGGTCGGATGTGGTTTTTGTGCTGGTGGTTTTTGTGGTGCTCGTGCTGGTGGGGGTCGGGATGGAGGTGTAGGAGCAGCCGCTGCCCGAGGGGAGTTCGGACAGGGTTGTGTAGTCGCCGTTCGGTTGGTTGCAGACGCAGACGTTGCCGGAGCCGTTGTCGGGGTCGGCGCTGGGGGTTGGGTTAGTGGGTTTGTGGTTGGTGAGGGTGGGGATGGGGAAGGGGAAGGGCTTACTGGTTCGTGCAGAGGGGCGTGGTGTAGGAGGAGGTTGTGGTGACTAGGGTTGTGGCGGTCTGGTTGCGTGATGGTGAGGGCGTCACGCTGGAGGTGTGGTGGGTGGTGCTGGTGTCGCTGGCTGTTCCGCTGTGCGTGTGGATTATGATAGTTGTGGTGTCGGTCGACGTACTAGATTTGCTGTCGGTACTGGTGGATGTGGAGTTGGTCGTAGCAATGCTGGACGTGTGGGCTGACGAGGATGCAGACAGCGGTGCGGAAGAAGAGGATTCAGTAGACTTGGTGGATGTGGTCTTCCTTGTGGTGGTGGTATCTGTGGATGTAGTCTTGCTTGCTGCAGCGGATGACGATGCTACCTGTGAGGATTCTGTCTTAGACTTGGTCTTGGTCTTTGTGGAGGTAGAAGAATCTTTGGTGCTTGTCGAAGTGGGTGAAGCAGAGGCGCTCCCAGAGTGGCCGCCTGAGCCGGCAGACGAGATAGAGTCGGAAGTTGTGGTGGACTTTGTCGACGTCTTGGTTGTTGTAGACTTCGTAGACGAATCGGTATCCGTATTGGTAGACGTGGCGGTTTTTGAGGACTTTGAAGACGTATCGCCAGAGGATGTGGTCGTTGTCGTACCGGTGCTCGTCGCGGTGGAGCCAGTGGCAGTCACTCCCACTGCACTGAGGGAACTTCCTTCGGTCTCAAAGGCGTCAAAGTAGGACGAGAGCTTGGACTCATCCGAAGAATCACTGTCTGACGAACTGCCCAAAATTGACACTGCCTCATCCGCAGTACTGGAGATGCAGCTCGCAATCCCGATGAGATCTCCCAGCAGGCCTCCGCCACTGCTACAACTGTCAAGCACCGAGTCGCTGCCACCAGAGCCTGAACTTATAGAACTCGGTGCTCCAAGTACGTCGAGAACATCATCCGCTACGGGAATGACACGCTTCAGGGGTTTGATGAGATCGGATGCCTTGACGGACTTGGGGTCCTTCTTCCATTTCTTGATCACTGGGTATGTGTCCTTTACGAGCTTGTAGAGGTGCTTGATGATGGCGTAGACATCAACAGAGGAAGTGGTTGTGCTGCTGGTGGTTGAAATTGTCGAGTTCGGTGTCGTGGAGGGGCCGGTTGTGATGCTAGCACTTTGGCTGGTATCAGTGTTCGTGGTGGTAGTGGTAGTGGTAGTGATGGAGTGAGTGCTCGATGTAGGAGTATGTGATGCAGGGCTTGATGAAGCAGTCTCTGCGGAGCTGGAGCTTGACTTTGACGTAGGAGTGTGAGACGCAGAGCTGGACGTGGTGTCCTCAGTATGGCTGTGGGCTGTCTGGGTCTTGGGCGAAGAGCTAGTGCTCGGTTTGGATGAAGCCGGCGTCGACGTGGTAGGGGTATGAGAACGAACAGGCGTCGATGAGCTCGTGGAAGTGTCGTGCTGAGCTGAAGCCGACGAGCTTGTCGAGATGTCCGATGAAGACGTGGACAACGTAGGCGTGTGAGTGTGGGTATCCTTCGATGTACTGATTTTTTGGGATGATGTAGCAGACTCAGATGAAGCATGCTCTGAGGAACTCGAAGAATGAGTGGAAAGAGTGTGGGTTGAAGGAGTAGGAGATGGACTCGTGGGAGTCTCAATGGAAGCAGGAGTGAACAAGCTGCTAGGGGAGCGAATGGAAGTCTCCTTGGAGACGACAGAATGAGAATGACTTGACGCAGTAATATGATCTTGAGCAGGGACACCTGCAGAAGAACTTGACAATGTCGTCGTATGAGAGTGGAAACTCGAAGGAGTGTATTGGCTGACAGACGTGTCATGGACACTACTACCATTAGAACCTATCTTTTTGATTATCAAGGGAAGACTGACCTTTGGGGTGTGTTTAGAGGCGCGCTAGAGTACGAGAGTGTCGTGGCCTCATGAGAAGACTTCGATGCTCCATCGTGGTCATCGGCTGAGGTCCCTTGAGTAGCACCAAGGGAGGCGGTAGCTAGCGAAGAAGGAGAGTACAATGGAGTATTCGAGGCTGAGATCGTGGTGGCTGTTGAATCCGACTCCGAAGTCCATGAAGGATGGCTCTCAGAAGAGGTTCTACCCTGGGTGTGTGCAACAGCTGACGAGCCCGGATGCGACGACTGAGGAAGCCCTAACGCTGGTGAGACGATGCTTGCAGCGTAGAGCCCTGCCAGCAGGGTTTTTGCATTAAAGAGTGGCATTGTCCAAAGGACGATAGAGAATGACTGTAACAAGCAAAACAAAGAGTGAGTGACAGTTGGCTTACGCTTGGCATAGGAAAATCTCCTGATGGGGGACTGTTTCTTTAGTATTCCCAACTCTTACTCCTTGGTGGCTGAGCTTCGGTAACAGCGTAGAGCATCGGGCTGGCCGCGGCGGTGGCTTTTGGCCCTCTGGGGGCCAAAACCAAGCAATACCACCATCCCCCTTCATTAATGCTTCGAGTCATTTCTAATCGTAGCATTGTCTGCCTACTGCAGGTACGGAACTATCGGTCGCATGCGCGAGTCAAGCTGTCGTGCTTATTACTGGATGGAAAAGTGTAAATCCTATCAGGATGCGCGTTTGAACTTGGCTTAATCAAACCCGATCCTCTGGCCCCCAAGACAGCCTGAATGGGGCGAGAACTTCGCCAGAACAAGCGATAATATAGGCGATCTTTGCACTGCCTGGTGGTCAACGCGGATAGTTTGCCCGATCGCTGCTTAGAAGACAGTCTCCTAGATCGGCTAAGTGCTTAGCTTTCTGTCTAGGCGACCAAAGAGCGTGGAGATGGCTCCAACGCATGTGCTGGGCTATATAGCAAAGGTAAGATATGGATGGCTTATATTGAGACGGTCCGAGCTGCCATTGTATCTGTGCTGAAGTAGGTCTCAGATAGATGGTCCATTGAAAATGAGGCAGATTTTACAACTGAATGGATAGAATCGAAATCGAGAGATTATAAGGTGGATGCACCAGCGGAGGAACGCTTGAGAATGCGGAAGGATTTGCTGGAAGCACAGGAAGAATTGAGAGTTGGGAGCTAAATGGAATGCTTGGTAGCCAGCTAGACTCTGGATAGCTTGGACAGAACAAGACAATCATTGGAATATCCAATGGATTGTCAGTTGGTCCAACGGTAGAAATGTAATGGACTATCTGGTTTTTGATGGACATATATTCTTCCCGGAGGACAGAAACAGAATTCATTAGCTGAAAAGGTATTTGACTACTTTAGTCCATGGATATTTCCAGACAGCTGGAAGCAATGGCCATTGGCATCTCAAATCGACAAAGATCGCAAAAACCACCAAACCATTTGACTACATGCTTGCTGATCTATAGACTTGCATGCAAATATTGTTATGGAATACGTAAACAGCCACCCAGAAGCTTTCATGAAAGACCTCTTGAACACATAATTATATGTTCAAAACACTGAAAGAAAGGCTTATAACTCTCGTAGACAACGGCCCAGGATGGGGGTATTACCATGGTTATGTGTAGTAGTACCGGTCAGGGCTACCTCATCTTACCTCAGTATCACCTCACTCTGGACATCATTCCTCCTGAAAGTCTCCTTATACTATCCATCTCTTCTCATACTCTCTTTCTCATCTCTCATCTCTCATCTCTCATCTTCAATTTCTCATCCTTCCTTCTCTCTGCCACCGATATCTTCCAAGATGTCTAATCATTATATTACCCGTGCTGTTCACTCACTGAGCCACGCTGAAACGTTCAGTGAAGCTCTCAAGGCCATCAACGACGGTGTGACCAGAGCCCTACCGTCCAAGCGCCAATACAAACAAGGCATCGTACTGAGCTTTCGCTGGGAGAACGACGACTTAGACCGGAAGGATATTGCCGAGTTTCTACGACTTTTCGAGAGGAAATACGGCTTCAAAACTGATTCATTATTGCTCCCATCTGCGCCCATAGCGGAGGTAGCCTTGGCTATCCAGGCGAAAATCCAAGCAATACTCTCTATCTATGACTCCTCGGATACGCTCTTCGTCATTGTGTATGAAGGCCATTCGAATGCGTACTATGACATACCCAATGCCTGTGTTAGTATTATGTAAGTAGATTCATATACGAATTCCCCGGAGATAATCATTCAATACGCTAAGTGACACTATAGGGGCTCGGCAAGAGAACCTACGGTTTCTTTGCCTTGGGGCTTTGTGGAGACCGCGCTGGCCTTTACAGATGGAGATGTCATCTTTATCCTGGACTCGCCGTTCCCATCTAGGGCGGCATTAAACTGTGAAGATATTGAGTACCTTGTGGTCTCGGCATTCAGATCACCAGCAGCCAGGGGCATCGATGTTTCCCTAACGAGGCGACTCATTGACCTACTGAATCAAGTGGATACTGAAATCACTTTATCACAAATACACGCCAAGCTCACCGTGCATGCAAACCGTCCAGACAGCCAACTGGGACTTATCCCTGTACATTTCCCCGCCAAGTACAAGCCATCCATCACTCTTCGTCCTCTGGGAGCGCGCCCAAGGCAGCTTAGAGGTCTCCGAAAGGCAGATGACTTGTCAGATGGTAAGGTGTTGGTTACTGTTCGGATCTCAGACACGACCAGTGTGCCGGATATAGTCGAGCAATGCATCCAGTGCTTATCAGAATCGATCGCGGAGGATGTGGCAGATATCAAGATTGAAGGTGTCTTCAAGTTCAGTCCAGACTCATCCTTGTTACTGCTTACAATGCCAACTGCTGTTTGGAGCATGCTTCGTCATAATCACTCCTTTGACTTCGTCGGTGTCGTCCAGTCACATAATCTACTTTCTCACAGGTCGACTAGTACTACTCAACCCCTGCCTCTTGCTAGTGGGAATTCTGACTTACCCTACCGGGGCAAGAACTGATATTTTCATTGATTGTTTTATTTTTTATTTATTTATTTATTTTTTTTTTTTTTACTTCTATTTATTTATTTTTCTTTTCTTTTCAGGGGGGATCCAAGATCACTAGTATACCATTGACGCAGGAATCATGGATGCGATAATTGAATGCAAAGTGACGCTACGTACTCCTATTAGAGCATGCATCATGACTTCTAGGAAAGCGATTGAGTTACTGCAAACCGGCACGTGGTATTGCACGGAGCATGACTTCTTCCGCTAAAAACATGACCAAAGCCAAGACTTGATCCTGTCTCGTGGAAGTTGCGGAAGTCGGAAGTTGATTTGGACTACAGAGCCGCGGAGATAGAAGCTCCCCGCGGAGATGGTCAAATTGCCTCAAATGGTACTCCGTAGATGAACCACCACGCCACTCGCGCCAACCCTTGAGTATCTGTGCAAATTCTCGTCGAACCTGGCCAGAACATCAAACGAAAGAAAAAAAATAGTACACCTAGAAAGTAATTACGTAATTAACCGGTTGCCATCAATCTTATACCCCCTAGCGCTTCGTTTCCATTCCACCATCCACCACACCCGGTTGTCTACACCTGCTCCGCTCCGTGAGGGATATTAGGAATATTAGGGTTATTCTGCAGTTGTGAGTTGGTCGGGGTGTGGTTCCTCCGGCCGGCTGTTGGGGATTGCGGCTGCTCTACCGTAGTAGCTTCGGAGTTATATGAGGGACGGTGCATCGACATATCCCACGATCCGGGACCTCCCGAGCCCATCTTGGCTTCCCATTCATTGTAGTCTTGGCCGGGGTTGACGGTGGTGTACTGGAACATCTTGAGGAAGGTGAAGAAGCCGCATGCGAGGAGACTTCCCAGCAACGGACCGACCCAGTAGATCCAGTGGTACCCGGGGAAACTGCGGTTGATGACGTCAGGACCGAGCGATCGCGCTGGGTTGAGTGAGCCGCCAGTATAGTAGTCCCCTTAAAGGAGGTGGTTAGTCGCATATAATCTGGTAGCAATTGGACCGAAGTCAGTTACTTACCAACCATCTCAGTCACAAAGAATACCAGTCCAATGCCCACAGGAGCCAGGAAGGTGGATTTATGTTTCACAACAGCCAGCATAATGATAATGAGCACCAGCTGAGCCGTCAAGAACATCTCGATGAACAGCCCCTGCGAGATTGAAGCACCACCGCCCAGACGAGTGCCGACGTTCAAGTCACCTGGGAACAAAGCACTCACGACACCGGCAGCCGCGATGCCTGCGATGAGCTGGACCCCGAAAACAATGACCCCACGGACGGGAGACAATCCACCAACCAGACACAGGGCTAGAGTGACCTAGAATAACGATCAATCGCAAATCTGGAAACTGGGATGGTAAGCATACGGCAGGGTTGAATAAACCTCCAGTCACTCGATAAAATGCCCACACATTGACCATCAACGAGAATCCAAAGCAGAGCGAGGAGTATAGCAGGTTTGGAGTGTTTGGAGGAGACCCGGGCGCTGGTTTTGGGGTATTAGACACCTGTGTCCCAGCGAAGGAGAAGAAGAGGAAGAGAAAGGTTCCCACGAATTCCCCGACGGCGGCGATGAAATTGTTCCGCGTTGTGTCGGCGAGGTGTAGCATAGGAAGCTGGTTATTCGAGGACCTGTAAACGGGAGTCGTTCCCCCGTCGGGGTTGCGCTTGCGAAACCATTGTTGCGGCCCCATGATGATATTCGTTACGATTTGTTCGAAACAAGGCCGATTGTGAGCGGAATCTATTTGCGACCAAGAAAGGGGGCTGCTAGAGCAACAGAGCGGCTTTTATGCATCAGGGTAGGGCGAGCTGTCAGCTCCGCAATACCAGCTGGAGCAAACGTCATGACGTTCTCTTCCGGCAGGAGGCTTGAAAGAGGTTTATTTCGGTTCGCAGGTGGTGAGCCATCGATCAGAGAAGATTTGGCTCAGGCTCGGGAAGAGCAGCCATAAATAATGAGCTAGACGACTTGGATACGACCATGGTTGAGCCGAAAAAATGAGGAGCATTGAGTGTTCTGGACCTTGCTTTGTGGCGTTGAGCAACCAGACAACAGTGGCTACGTTGAGAGGAGGAGTATAGTTCGATATGCTTCATTTAAGGGAAACTCCATCTAACGACGAGCTAGTTAGCATGTAGTCTCTTCTCTGGAGCCACAAATTTATGAAGCCGAATTGAGGTTGCATTACTGTTTGTTTTCTCTTTGGGGGTCCGACTCGGGAAGAGCCCCACGCAGATTTGATTGACGGCGGAAGGCGGATGGACAATTTCGTTGACGTTACATGTTAACAATGCGAATGAGCAGATGCTTTGCATCGAGCCAGTGTGGGGTGTTTCCACCCTGTAGCCAAGACAAGAGCTTAGCAGGAGACTATTGTGGTAGTCTTACTGTCTTGGAGAGTAGTGAGATCAACCATCCCAGAAAGGACTAGCGCATATTTATCCCGGCGATACCTTAATCCGAGGGAAAGAAGAGGCGTCACTTCCTTCCTTCCACTGCATCATTCGCATCTTCCTCGGTGTCTCGTCGGTCCCTGCATTGCCGCAGCATCGTACAATAGTACTTTCGCTAAAATGTATCATGCATCAGACATGACTAACAGCATCTTTGTGACTGGATGAGCTCAAACAACGGCCTCCCCGAGGAGTTCGTGAGCGTTGAATGGATCACCCCACGGCCGAGACTCGGTTGGTCTCGGGCTCCCCCCTAAAACTTCCGGTCGGGCGTCGGGATTTGGTGGGCTGATCAAAGCCCTCAAATTAATAATTTGCTGCGAGTCATTTTGACTTTAGCTCGCTTGTGATTCTGTCTCGGCGTGCCATGACAGCAGAGAAGCAGCTGCAGGAGCAGACGTCTGCCTTCTTATCAGATGCCTCAATAGTGATGGATGTGACGGATATGCAGCTCCCACTGGGGGATCTGCTTTATCTGACAGGAGTGACAGCCCCTTGAACCAATTGAGAATGACTTGATTATCTTTTCACACTCAAAATTCTCCCAACCCAATCACGGATCGACAGCCTTAGCATCATCTGGAACCTGATTTGACGCGTTAGTCTGGCACTTTCTGTACTTCCCCAGTTTCTCCGCGGAGATGCTCAAAAGGCCGCGCCGTTCAACTAGTATACACAAAAAAAGTGGAAGCAAGAAAAAACTTCTCCCGCCACGGCATGCCGTCCACCCGAACTAACAAAAGCCCTCAAGGACCACCTAATTGCTCACCGGATTATAAATACTAGGATAGACCATCACCATCAAAATGCTTTCCCCTTTCCTTCACCAAGATCATTCTTAGACTCGTTCTCTTTTGGTACTCTTTGCATCATTTGTACTTCTAGATCTTCCCGTTCACGGCAGATACATCCACACTAAACAATGGGTCTTACCCAGGAACAAACTGATATCATCAAGGCCACCGTGCCTGTGATTAAGGAGCATGGCAACGCAGTTACCAGCGTGTTCTACAAGAACATGCTCGCCGCACACCCTGAGCTGAATGCCATCTTCAACTCCTCCAACCAAGTCAACGGCCACCAACCCCGCGCCCTCGCCGGTGCTGTTTTTGCCTACGCCGCCAACATCGACAACCTTGGTGCCCTCGGCCCCGCAGTCGAGCTCATCTGCAACAAGCATGCCTCTCTCTACATTCAGCCTGAGCACTACAACATCGTCGGCAAATTCTTGCTCGAGGCCATGGGCGAAGTCCTTGGTGACGCCTTCACCCCCGCCATCAAGGACGCGTGGGCCGCCGCTTACTTCCAACTCGCTGATATCATGATCAACCGCGAAGCTGCCCTCTACAAGGAGGCCGACGGATGGACCGAGTTCCGCGATTTCCGCATTGCTAAGAAGGTTCCTGAATCTTCTGAGATCACCTCCTTCTATCTCGAGCCTGTCGATGGCAAGCCCCTCCCTTCTTTCCGTCCCGGACAATACATCTCTATCCAGCTCTTCGTCCCCCAACTCAACCACCCTCAAGCCAGACAATACTCTCTCAGTGACAAGCCCCGCTCCGATTACTACCGGATCTCCGTGAAGAAGGAGGTTGGTCTCAATGCCACTGAACCGGGTGCCGAAGCCCACCCCGGCCTCGTATCCAACATCCTGCACGATCTCAAGAAAGAGGGTGACATCATCAAGGTGTCGCACCCCCAGGGTGACTTCTTCCTGTCCGATGCGGAGAAGCAGAGCTCCAGCCCCATCGTTCTCTTGGCAGCCGGTGTGGGTCTGACCCCGCTCACCTCGATCCTGAACACCATCCTCGAGGCCGAATCCGAAACCCAGCGCAAAATCACCTTTGTTCATGGCGCTCGCACCTCGGCCGCCCGTGCCTTCAAGCCCCAGATCCGCGAGCTGGCCACCAAGGTGCCTAACTTGCAGGCCTTCTTCTTTACCAGCCACCCAGCTGGCGAGGACAAGCAGGGTGAAGACTACGACTTTGCCGGTCGCCTGGATCTGAGCAAGCTGGATTCGAAGAAGGACCTGTTCCTGGACGATGCGACAACGCAGTACTATGTGTGCGGTCCCGAGTCGTTCATGCTGGACGTGAAGGGTAGGCTGGCTGCCGAGGGCGTGAGCGCGGACCGCATCAAGATGGAGCTGTTTGGCACGGGTGGTGTGCCCGCTTGATTGCATCATTGACAGATACACACTGCATACGCTTTTATCTGCTACCGATACAGATAGAGTAGAGCTTTGCGTTATGGGTTACGACTGCCTGGGTTAACCTTTGTATATATTTTAGATCTTTAATACCCTCCACTCAATTAATAATTCGTTATACATTACAATCATTTCACCTACACTTACGCAGTAAACAATCACAAATCACACTCATTAAACATTTCTTCCAGATTGTCACAGTTTGGAAAAACTAATTATGTATGAAAGTTATCCACACAATCGACCTAATATTCACAACGAAAAGAAAATTCCTTTCCCCCATCTCACTCTTAATTGCCATACTCCTTCGCTTCACCCAACGCGACTCCCTTCAACTTCGCAAAATCCGGAGTACCCAGCCCGGAAACCGGATCCCACCCAGTGGTCGCATTCCAACTAGCAAACGGCACAACGGGACTTCCATTGGGCGTGCCTCCAAACCGATTCCGCCCATCACAACCCACACTTCCGCCCGTCACGATATCATTCAACGCGCCGCTCTCACTCCCCACGCCGTAAAGAAACGGATTCAGGAATCCCATAACAGGCAACCCCGCTCTCAATCTCGCATCATTCAACAAGGCAATGACACCACTGAAGGTCGGCGCGGAGCAACTCGTCCCGTCGAACTGGCCCAGCATGCCCTTGTCGTAGACGGCGTAGTTCTCGCCCTGCGCGGCGACGTCGGGGAAGGCGCGGCCGGAGGCGTTGAAGAGGCCTGAGAACTTGTTGCCCAGGTGCTGGGTAAGGTAGGTTTGCACAGCGGCGTGTTGGTAGGAGGGGCGGGGCCAGAGGTCGGAGAAGCCTCCCGAGGAGAAGGAGACGGCTTGTTCTGGGGAGGTTTTGGAGGTGGCACCGACGGAGGTTACCCAGGGGCAGGAGGCCGGGAATTGAGGAGGGAAGTGGGTGCGGTTGGTGCCGTCGTTGGTGAGGCAGGCGGCGCCGACGCCGGAGTCGCCGCTGGAGAAGATTACGGAGACACCGCGGCTGCCGAGTTGGGCGTAGAGGTTGCAGACGGTGCGGGCGTAGGGAACGGGGATGGTCTGGAGTGGTAGGGGTGGTTAGTAGGGGTAGGTTTGAGGGAGGGTCTGGGGGATGAAAGGGAACGTACCTGTTCGTCTTCGCCGTAGGAGGTAGAGATGACTTGAGGGAGGTCGGAGTTGTTGAGCTTGAGGATGCCCTGGAGGAAGTCGAGGTAGGGCTCGTTGCTGTTGTCGTTGGGGTCAGGGGAGCTCAGGTCGGGGACGAGTTCGCCGCGTCCGCCAGTGCTGTATTCGGTGATGGGGATGGGAGCGCTGACGCCCAGGATGTACTGCAGGTCGAGGTTGGCTTCGCCGCTGTCGCTCAATGAAAGCTGGTCGTTCAGGCCGCCGTTGAACTGGACGACGCTGAAGTTCTGGCCAATGGCGTTGGGGGCCAGGTGCTGCTCGAACTTTTCGAGATCGGCATACCGGGCGTATTCTTCGAGGTAGCTGGCGAAGCCGACCTTGCTACCGGACTTGGGATCGGCCTGGTAGTCACCGATGTTGTAGAGCTGCTTCAGACAGTGCGGCGTGATGATGGAGTCGCAGTGGGAGGTGTTCTGGGCCAGGGTGGCTGCGGTCAGGAATGTTTCGTCGGCGTGCTTGGGCTTGCTGCGCATGGTGGCACGGTTCGGCTGGATCTGGCCAAAGCGAGTGGTGGGCTGGATCATGTTGATGTGCGAGACCAGGGCGTCGGGGATGGAGTATTGCAGGGTGCGCAGACGACGAATGTGCTTGGCGTCGCTGACATACCACTTGAAGTCGGCATCCAGCAGAGCATTGGCCTTGTTGACGGTGGTATGGAACTTGACCCAGTCGGCGTCGACCTGGATATTGTGGACTCCGGCGGATTCTAGCCAGTCGCGGACCGAGTCGACGGCGGTGTCGCTGGGCAGCAGCATGCGCTTCATCTCATCATGTGTGCGGAAATGCTTTCCATAGTCGGCGTGGCCGGGGGTGGACATGTCCATCACGGCTTGTTCGAAACCGGCAACATCGTGCTGCTGAAGGGCGATTTGAAGACGAATGATCTCGTTGCCTTGAGGATTGTTGGCGTATCTCCAGCCTGGTAGGATTCGGAGGAATTGCGTTAGTATACCGCTCGGGATAGTGAATTGATGTTTGTAACTCACCACTGGGGACGCCGGACAGCTTCTCGAAGATCTCCGCAGCTACGGGCGAAGGGAGTAGTGACAATACCGCGAGGGATACGGCTGCTCCCTGGCTAAGGAGGGAGGATAACATGGTGAAAGGGTGCCGGAGAGACGAGGATGAGGGGAAGAAGACGGCAAAGGGGAGGTGAAAGGGACGAGAGATAAATAGTATTATTTATTTATTTGTTATGGGGGGATCATTCAGCAGCAGGACTATCATTACTGCCACTGCAGGCGATTAAGACTGCGATGTGCATACCCTTACTGTATCGGGGGCTGGGAGGGGCGCTGATTGGGTCCGCTGCGAGTGTAGCCGAAGCTGGAGGTGACACTAGCGCCACACTGTCCGGCTGATCGACAGGGATATCCCATCATTCTGCTGTGTTTCTGTGCTGCTTGCTTTGTTTTTGTCAGGCTGCCCAAGATTTCAGTGTTTCGCAGGGCGCCCATTAAACCTGTTGTTGGGCTGGCTGGTTTGCACCATTCCCGCCAAGATCGTGCCAGGACCGGGCTTCTTATGATTGGCTGGGCGGGAGGCGGGAGAACAAGTTGGTGCCACTCGAGTGCAACCTCAGGAACCGCCCAGCCTGACCGGCTCCACCCGCCTTCTCTGCTTCCCCTTTCCTGGATCTTGGCACGGCTAGCAGAAGTGATAGTTCTGCTCCTATTTCGTCACTTTGGAAGCTTCTCCCCCCGCTTTCTTGATAAGCCACTAGCTAATCGGGCCAATCCCTTGGTTTCTGCAGCTTTGGGCTATCCTGAAGAGGCAGGTCACTGCTCGTAAGGTTCATTAATGTTATCTTCTACAATGTAGTATTCTGCTGTCATGGTCTCAGTGAAGGATCAACTCCTCCGATGCTTTCCCCGGCTCTCCGCCGGGTGTAGCATCCTCTTCTCCTTGGCGTGGGGAACCGAGGTAGAACAGGATGGGTATTGGGTAGACTGGTACTGACGCTGTGAAGCCAAATATCCTATTATCAGAACAGTATTGGAATGCCAGCATCTATTGCATATTGGTCACTGTCCAAATCTCAGTCCCATCTGTTATTCTTTTCTCCGGAATCCACAAATCTGCCTCTAGTCAACTATAAATAGTCCGATCTGCAGTGAACTTCAGCTCTCGGCAGCCCACTTTCCCCTTATCTCGTTCGCGAATGCGAGCAATCGATGATCGTACATTATAGATAAACCAAGATTATGGAAAACTTGAGAGCAAGGGCTTGTGCACCCTTCCTAGGACCTGAATCTTCCTCCGACATGCTCCCCGAGACATCAACAAACCTTGTGTTGACAGGAATCTACTCCGCGGCGCTTATCTCCATCTAGAAACGATCGGCCATAGCCATTGTCCAATGACCACAGCTTTCGCCCTGGCCTGCTGCAGGGTCATTCGGAACAAATTTGCTTCGGATGATGCTGGATATTGTCGCGATATGACTTACTTTTGCTTCCATACTATTCACCATTTCTACTTCCATTTCTCCGAGATATTCCGCTTCTGGGGCTGTCACAAGCTGACATGGTTTATCTGCCCGGCCTTGGGATAATAACTACCCAAGTAGATACCCAGTAATAGCAAAAGAGTTGCGTTTACTTGGACCAAAAGGGTTGCAACAGCGTGAAGGTACTGTGTTTTCGTAATGAGCAGCGGTAGCGAGGAATTAATCATGAAAAGGGTCATCCCACATCTAATCCAACTCACGATATATCCCCGGTAGATATACTTTTTCAGGCAGCCCTTCCATTCCTTCTCTGCGAACTGCCATGCAGGGTCACGTGTCTGTATCACTTTCACGATATCTTCCCGCCAGCCAAATTGGAGGGGATCTCCATCCATTATCCATTCCACTTGATGCTCTCTCAATGTAACACAAATATATTGGGATTCTTTCAAGATGCTACGCAAGCCTGTTCCGCTGTTACGCGGTCGAAGACGAACGTTCCACCGTCCAACCTTTCCATCCTGGACAAACCTCAGCCAGTCATGCCCCTTTAGTTGGAATGCGATCCATGACTCGTATGACTACACAAGAGCTCGCTTCTTGGTAAATGAAGATCACAAGATGGCCATACGCCAGGTGAAATTTAATATGAGTGAGCTAGCAAAGCGTGCAGCTGAATCAGTCGGCTTTTCAAACGATCAATGCGTTAATGTTGAGAGACTCCCGGACGGCATGTTCAATAAAGCTTTCCTCTTCACCATGCATGATGGTACAAAAGTTGTAGGCAAGGTGCCAAATCCGAATGCTGGACGGCCACACTATACCACAGCCAGTGAAGTGGCGACGATGGATTTTGTAAGCGAGCTTCATACCTTTCTACCCTCTTCACCGGCGTGTCTAATGCCCACTGGTAGGTAAGGAATAAGCTGAGCACTCCGGTGCCGAAAGTTTTGGCTTGGAGCTCTCAAGCAAATAAGAACCCAGTTGGTGCAGAATACATTATCATGGAGAAGGTTGGAGGGGTTCAACTTGATAAAGTTTGGCCACGGATGGATATTAAATAGAGATTTGAGCTCGTCAAGACAATATCAGGACATCAAAGGGCCTGGATGTCAAAGTCGTTCACTCAATATGGGAGTCTCTATTATTCGAAAGACTTACATAGTAGCCGTGGGTGCATTTTCATGGATGAAGACGGGTCTCAATTCGAAGACGACCGATTTGCTATCGGTCCATCAACAGGAAGAGGGTTCCTTGACGACGGAAGGATCGACGTGGACTTCGATGGGGGCCCCTGTAAGAGTTTTTAGCCAGCTTGTCGATAACTCCTGCTGACACAGCTCCAGGGGATAACCTGTACGACTACAAATTAGCAGTTGGGTTCCGAGAACTCGCCTGTGTACAGGATATGCCCCAATTACCCCGGTCACTCCTGGGTTTATATGGCCCCGGCACATACCGTCGCTCACGATCGAAGAAAATAGCTGCTATTCGGGACTATCTCCGCATGGTGCATTTCTTCCTCCCAACGGATGACTCAATATCGTCCGCATTCTTATGGCACCGTGATCTCCACATTGAGAATATCTTTGTCAATCCTAAAGATCCATCCGAAGTTGTAGGCATCATTGACTGGCAGTCCAGTGAGGTTTTACCTCTTCTTGACCATGCGCGTCAGCCATATTTTCATGACTATAATGGCCCTCCAGCAACTGGCCTTGATCCACCGGAATTCCCGCGCGACTTTGATCAGCTTGATGCTGACGAAAAGATAAAGGCTGAAAGGCTTTATTTGAACATGTCTCTCGCGACTCTGTATAGAAAGCTCACGTATGGCAAGAATAAGAGACTGTTCAAAGCTATGGAGTTTCAGAAGCCATCGAGCTTTGACATGATGCTATTCGCTCAGAATCTGCTAATCGATGGGGAGGCTCTATACCGGGCAAGGCTCCTTGAGCTTGAAGAAGAGTGGCCATGTCTCCCAGGCGTACAGGCTTCCGGAAATCCACCATTTCCATTGCAATATACTACTGGCGAGGTCAATTCCATTCACGAAGATGCAGATAAGGCATCCCGAAGCATGGAGCTGATGAAGGGCGTGAAAGAGTGTCTGGGTGAACTGTGGCCAGCGAAAGGCATCGTGCCGCCTGAGCGGTATGATGAAGTTAGGGAGCTTCTCAAGCACGTCAAGACAGACTTGACTGACCAGCTTGCAAATTCTGAGGAAGAGAGAATTGGTTGGGTAAAGGCATGGCCATTCGATGACTGAGTTGAGGCTCACTTCTGAAATCACCAGTATGACTGTATTTGCAAAGTCTCATAGACAGAAAAAGTTCAATAAGGTTGCTAACTATTTCGGTATAGGTGTCTGATATTTCGGACCAATGGTATCTGGGGACGCTATATGCGATGGCGCCCTTGTTTCGAAACACCGTAACAAGACTTTGCATCAAACTCTGTTTCTTATTACACAGCCTTATAAGCCAGCAGCACTTAATATCTAATACAGTTGATATTTTGTATCTCGTACACATATTTTAATACTTCAGGTTTTATTGAATTGATACATTTCCCGGAGCACAACCTACCTCAAAGCCCAAAATTTCTTAAAGACGGTCTTTATTCACAATTTCCCAATGCAATTCAATGTAATGCTATCTACAGAAAGTGAAGCCACCACCAACCAATGCATCTCCCAACCCTGACTCCATTCCCTGGATAGAGAGTGAAAATGATGCAGGCCATAAAATATCGAGATAATTTCTCCAACTCCTCCTTCCTTCTCCTCATCAACCATCTTCTCTACTCCATATCAACTAGCCTATTGATCTCTAAGATCTATATTTATGCTACCTAGTAGTAGTCAACCCCGGATAACTGGTTAATGATCTATATCCCCCTCATTAGTACCACATCTCAGATCTCCAAGAACGCTTGGACAGAGGGATATGAAAGCCCATCGAACACTTATCTCGAACCAGAGTCATTGAAGCGGGTCAATGACACCCAAGTATAGCGACCTATACCAGCATAAACAGGCTGCGCTTCAGGAGAACATGTGTAGCTACAGAAGTTGCAGTCTATTCCGACCAGCTGAGAGCGTCCGGTAGATTTGAAGCAAGTTCCTGCTCGGCCTTAAGTACCTCCCAAAATTCATATGTTCAGTCATATAAAAAGTCTACCATCTACATCCTAAAACAGAACGTCCATCTCAAGCCGTGATCCACGAATCTGCCCATAAACTTATCCACATAAAAAAGTCTACATTGAAAGAACCTACAGAAGGCGCAGATATCTCCTATAGGAGCTATCGGGCAGCATCAGAATATTTCCCGGTGGCCTTTACGTATACATTGCTCTGGTTGCATTTAATAGTTAGGCAGAGTGCGCCGCAAGAATCTTCGCCGCGGATCAATCTCTGCAGTGTGGTCTATACCTGAGAATCCAAGATATATACCCGACAAACAGTTTATATATAGTAAAAACCTACTGGGCATTTAATGCCGGGATTGTCATAGTTGCTTGAATGTGGTGGTTGGCCTTATAAAACGCCATTGTACTGGAGCAAGGAAAAGATATGGGGTCCGACATTAGCGCCCTATATTCACCTATCAAACGCATGGGTCTATTGCATTCTATTTACATCGACCTGATCCAGTATTGGTTACTGGCTAGACTAGAAAAGAAAAATGGATGACCTGCGCGCAAGTTCCCTTCCAAACAAACCGACTGTCTGAGCATGACAACACTTAGCAACTGATCCACTTGGACAGTTAAAGATAGAGCTGTTTACACGTGTATCCAAGTTCTACCTTAGCTTTTACCCTTCGATGCGGTTCCGTCCACTTATTGGTCTGGGAAAATACATATCCCATCCACGCAACCCGATCTAATCTATGTGTGGGTGTTCATTGGTGTCACTCTTACGAATCGGTGCGTTGTTTTAGTCTATTCTCTGATAAGTTATCGCTTAATCGCTGATATTGTAGCAGGTACCTGGCGAGCACTTGCCTAAAGATCGGTTTCTCGTCGACGCAGTGGTTTGCTGGCTTTTCACAATATGCACACATTCCAGTAGCAATCACTAGTTTTAGGATGTCGTATCAGCTGAGAAGAAAAGTATTGTAGGCCCAGAGCGTCCTCTAAGCGCCTAGAACTTTAAAAGAAAGAGACATGGACCACTCTTCGTGGAACGACCGACCACAATTACCAACGTTCAATGAAATCAACCAGAAACTAACATCGCTGCCGGAACAGAAGTTCTAAAAGATCCAACAGCGATAAGACTAATACTACAATAGGCCATTCAGCCAGTGCTACCTAAGCCCGAGCTTGGTAAAGCAAGTCTACAAACACGCCACCATTGATGGCCAGATGATCATTGAGACAGGGCGCTTTGTTAACTCCTACTCTCTTTTAGTGAAATTCTAGTACAGTGACGCCTAAAATCGCGAGCCATCAAAGGCTGGTCTAGAATATGGCAGAAAGACGAAAACGTTGCTCAGATTACCAGTATCCAGGAACTCGCAAGAGACACTCAATGGTGTGACAACCCCTCTTATATTCACCTTGTGTGAAGCGTGACCAGACCCTTTTATGATATCAGGATATAGGACCCACAATCTTCTATATAATTCTTCCTTATTTTATCCACTCTCTTTTCTTCTCTTCTTCTCTTTATTATCTACAACCTGCCCTCCCCCCCCCATATCAAGATACATAATAAGTTATCTTATAAAAAACTCTGGTAATGAGTATTAAAGTATTAATCTTCTGTTCTTCTCTCAAGATATTTACATATATTACTAATTATTTGCCAGAGATATTCCCGAGCTATTGCTGCTGCTCCTACTCCTCGCGGGCCTACTTGGATACAGCTCGAGCGGTCTAAAGTAAGTTCTCTATATTAGAAGATTATGTCTGATTATGATTGATCTGATAACATACTGTTATATCATTGATAGATATTGATACTAACTAAGTTTATAGATAATTGATGCACTAGAGGACGCTGGAGTCGTGGTCCCAAAGGGGTTTTTATCCTCTATAAGGGATTTTGCCGATGGTCAAAAATTGCGTAAGAAAGAACTACGAGAAGAAATTGCACAACTGTAAGAGTTGGAACGTGAACATAATGAAGCTCTTCGCATCAAAACTGAACGATGGGATGCCGCCCGCAAAGCTCTGGTGGACGCTCCCTCCGATGCTCCGAATATCTAGCGGGGTCAGGGAGCGAAATCGGGTCCAAGGAGCAAAATAGATACCTTATCAATTCCGGATCGACAGTTTCGAGCCGATTTTACAATAGAACTGAGAGAAATTACAGACTTAACCACATCTACTGCAACATTTTTGTTGTGCCCTATATTGATCTCTGTACCAGGCTGCCGCGGCGCTTGATGCCGCAAGTCCCTGAGTCAAGGATCGATGTATGCGGACTCACATAATCGTTTGACTGTTCAGTGGCTCCCAGGACCATTTCTGCCTGCCTCTTTTCCCCACCAAGGGTGCGTCGTTCCTGAAAAGATTCGACGAAAAACACCCATCTTCCAGTATAGATCTGCAATGCTAATCCTGCTTATACATGCTGCCCGAGGTCTCTCACTGTGAGGCAAATCTCCCACTCGTATTATATCTATTTCGCTTTTTTGTTCTCTTTTCTTCTTTTTCATATATCGCTCTGAGAATTTCTTTTCTCTCAATCAGATATGTGAAGCTATCCAAACAAAATTCACACAAAAAATCTTTATTTGACACTGCAGACACTCTCATCGTCATCTATGAAGATCATTGAGATATCGACTCCAGTCACTCTATCACTTCTTTCAATATCTTTTTTAGATCTACAACATCTTATCCGACGGAGATTTACAGCAAATCAACGGATCTAAAGAGACTAGGTGAACACAACTCCATTTTCGCTGTCTAAGAGATTTGCGGGGGCTGGAATATCCTCAGTATTCTAGACTCATGCTTCTCATCCGGAGGATATCCACAAGGGACAGGAAAATATACCCAATCTTGTGGTTATATATGCAAATCGAGACTGGTTTCCAGATCCATCCAGACTACCAGCTGCTGGAATCGGTATAGCTTTCTTACAATAGTGGAAGTCGAGTTCATGACTGACATACATACTCTGGGAGAGATTGTACATAAACTACCATTCGGGGTAAGATTATCCATCGAGTATGGAGTATTGAAGCTAGGAAATTAGCCAAGTAGCAATTCCCACATTTTTTATGAAACAATGACCATAATTACTACTGTTCTTCTATGCATGTATTCCATAAATTAGTATTCCTCATACATGTCCGGGTATATTCTATCAACATTAAAGTCTCTCCCTCTTATCCAATTCAATAACAAACTATCACCACCACACCAGGAAAATTAACTTCTCACCCATCGAAGCCAAGCACCTCATCCACCTTCCGAATCTCCTCTTCCATCCGCGCAACCCTCCCCTGTCCTCTCCCCTCTATCCCCACAAGACAATATGGATCCTCCCACTCCGGCCCGTCCCGATACCGAAGAATATTCTCCATGTTTCTGTGCTTCCTTTTCTGCGTAGGTTTCTGATATGTGTCCGATGACGTCGTTCCGCCTTGTGTTCCCGTCTCCGTGCTTGTATTGGTATGTGTGCAGTGAGATGTGATAGATCGCGTGGTACTTTTACTCTCGATGATATGTTGGATTCAAAGGTTAGCTTTCATTCCCATATAGAAGAAAAGCATGGTTCGATGCAGTGGTGGTAAAATACCTTGTACTCGAGGTTGCTTCGGGCATCGTGATTGGGTATGTCTTGGATTTGTGGTCGATGGATGTAAGGAGTTGTGGTGCAACTAAGTCGATATACACAGCAGTATGGAATAAGCAGAGTAGATGAGAGTACTAGTAGAGAGAGATTGTGTGTATCGTAGTAGTCTTCTCCCTTTATAAAAACAACACATTTGAAATAGTAGCATAGTATACACCAATTTATACCCACACTCACACACAGACCGACAAGATTTAATAGAGAGAGAGATATCTACAGCCTCATCGACTTCCTCCTTCTCAGCTACTAATCAATACACTCTTCACAGCCCACCATCGCCCATCTAGAAGCAGGTCTAGAATGAAGAAATCAGCAAAAGGAATAAAATGAAGCGAATAGGCAACGACCGAGCACTCCCTCCATCACAATGCATAAATCTCATCTCATCTCATCTCCGCTCAGTGCAGTGCAGTTGCAGACCGCCCAGACCAGACCACAGACACTCAAGTACATACGAGTAATCGACACCAGCTATCTAACAAAAAATGTGGTCCAGAACTTCCATCAGGTACATCGTTGATGTATCTTCAGATAAACCAACAAATGTGAGTAGAAAATGATTCGATGACGACATCCCCTCCAACCGTGGCCAGAAGCTATCTACTATACATCGAAAAAGCAAAAAAAGAGTGGATGAGATTTTCGGCTGGGCGGGAATTATCGGCCGGTCTGGATCGGTCGGGCCAGCCAGGACGTTCTAGAATCGAAACATCTCTTTTTACTTTTTTGTTTTGGTTTGTTTTGTTTTGGGAGGGTGTATGGGTGTCGAGCTCGGGGAGAAGAGGGCGGGGCTGGTTTGATTTTCAATGAAATGCATTTAATGAATTGATTCATTGGGAAATTAGTGCGGAAAGGAATCTATTTGATGAATTTGATTCATGTCCATTGGGTATCTACGAGGCTTCTTCTGGCTGTCACTTTGGAGGAGAGATTTCGCAAGGCTGGATCAATTGGGTTGATGGGGAGGGGACACGGGCGGGGTTTGGGCCTTGTCGGTGTAACGGATGGAGTTGATGGGTTACCTTTTAGTTGGGATGGGATGGGTCCAGGGACGGGTAACTCGGTCTAGGTCTTTCTGTTTTTTATTACTTTTTGTGCCTCTACTTTGTAGTATTACATTTTACATTGTTAACGGATAAGCAAATATGTAAAGTAGTGAGTGGATTAGGTCGAACTTTTATCTCCGGGTATATATCAACACAACACCAATTCATCCCATAATTCGCCGCCCACGACAGGAGAGGGCCATGAAACAAACTCCCAGATCTTGTTGTAAGATGTAAGAAACAGAAGAAAGGAAAATCATAATTATTATACAATATACGTGACGGTCATTACAAGGGCAGAGACAAAACAACGCATCGCCGCTAGGCTTATGCGTGAAACGCCTCACTCCCCTTGCTATGTCGCCACATCCCGCTCGGGACCATGCTTTGTTTGAGCATGGCAAGCTCCTTCTGGAGCGACTTGTTCTCCTCCTGCAATTCTTGCATAAAGGTGATGGCATTGGTCAGGATCTCCGACTTCTTCAGCGACGCCGAGCCCCCCTTGGTGGGCTTCTGGACTCCGCCGCACATCGCCTTCTCCAGGGCGACGAACTTGGCGTTCATGTTCGTGCGGTACCGCTTTTCGATGATGTTGTGCGCCGCCCGCTTCGCCGCATTGCGGCCGGTGGTGGTCTGGGCCTGACCCGTGCTGGCGTTGGAGTCGCTGGACAGACTGCGGGTGGTCTTGCGGGCGGTGTTGTTGGCGGCAGGGGAGGAGGGGGCGGGCGGGGGTGAGACACTGGTGGCGGGGTAGTCCTGCGGTGTTATTTCCGGACTGGACGACCACCTTGTCGCGGTAACCTCGCGAGCCTTCGGTTGAGACGTCGTCTTGCGACGAGTAGATGTCTTGGGAGTGCGAGCAGCAGGCTTAGGCAGCTCCATGTGGATAGGCTCAAGGGGAGAGACACGGCAGGTAGGAGACCATGATTGGTCATCACTGTCAAGGTCCTATTGAGTACATGTTAGTTATGGTTCATCGTTCAATGCCGATGGAGATAGACATACCGATGAGAGAGATCCGCAGGAGGCAGCATCTTCACCCGAGTGGTTGGAGATGGTGAACGCACTGATATCTGGGGGTGGGGCGAAGAAGTCGGCGGGAAAGTCCTTGGGGTCCAAGTTCATCATCTCGTTGGACATCTCCAAGGGGAAAGTCTCCGGCATCATGGTGTTGAGGGAGAACAGATCGATGGCATTGTCGTAGCTCCAGTTAGCCGACAGAGGATCGGGTCCCTTGGCGAAGGTATCATTGGGACGAGTGAGTGGGCTCGGATGGCTCATGCTGTACATCCGCTCGTCGTCTAACGAGAAGGAATCGGGCCTAGGGTATGCCATACTAGTGGACTTGGATGGAGTTGAATCGGATGGATGACGATGTGGATTGTCTGATAGTACGTGGTGTGGGAGGCAAACTTGATAGTCGAGTCGACAGTCAAGATCGAGTGGCAAGTAGAGAAGTGAAGAGAAGGGTAAATATAAAGAAGCTGTTTGATATTGAACCGTGGATCGGAAGGATGCTAGGCAGTAGAGGACATCGGGGGATGGACTATATAAAGGTGGAAGGTTTCAGGAGAAGCCGGTGTCAGAAACCGATCGCCAGGCCAGCCGAGACGCAATGATGTAATGGCTTGCAACGGTCGAAAAATCCACGGCCAGCGAGAATAATGAGGGCCAGCATAATTGGACTGGAGACGCGCAAGAAAAGCCATGACCATTGTCGAAACGATAATTGCACAGGGCCGGTGAAGGGGCACCGAGAGATCACCCCAGCCGGATGCAGGGCATCCAGCCTCGGTCGGCTCCGATGTCTGCCGTCGGAAGGCCCATTTGGGGGGAGAGAATGAATGAGAAGCAGGGGAAAGCTCAGCAGGAGAGAGCTGAGGCAAACCACAGCTCAGTAGAGTACGTACTAGACTCCCGCCAGAAAATAGAAAATCAAAATAAAAAAGGAAAAAATCAAGAGAAAAGGACGGATTGGAGAGCCGTGGAGGGCGGGATCGGTGGATCGATCGATGCACAACCGTTGGACTGGCTTCCCTTTCGTTTGCTGGCTATGCCCCTTAGGGTTTAGTTCCCCGCCAAGTACCGCCGCGGCCGAGTCTCGGCTCCGACATCTTCGGCCGGACGAGGAGGAAACTCGACAGAGTAAGAACAGCTGGACAAATGATTTTTCTGTGTTTTGCCCTTTCCTACTCCCCTTTGTCCAACATGACTTCTCCATCTCCTACTCCATACTACCCTCAACTCACTGACCAAAATGGCAACAGTCAAATACGGAATTAATCTTATCCCTGCCTGCCTAGATTTTCTTCACGAGGCGACAATACTGCAGTGATGTCGCTCGCTTGCCCGTTCCAGTTATTTCATCCGCTCGGCACATGTTGATTTCTTCGTTTCATAGACATGACCGATGCATGTGGTATCCCTCAAGTTGGAGGCCACCTACGTAGACTGAAACTAGACGAGGGGCATAACTCCAGTCTCCATCTACTAGTATCTCTGTAGTGTCTGGATACTGTCTACGTAGTGTTTGCCAATCCAAGCTGCCTTAGGCCGCCATGGTTCAGGTACCCTCAATTGCGGCCGCAAGTGGGTCGGTTCTGGCCTTCATGGCTGCTCCAGGCTGTATGTCCCTTGTGTTCCCTGGCAAATTCTTATGCTCACAGTTGATTCGCTTCCGGCAGCAATACACAAGTACTAAGTAGTAGTAGTAATCTGTCGGAGGCAATGACGGGGTTACAGATGACAAGCCAGACCACCTGCACAGCTCCCTTTCCGTCCCGAGTCCCTCCTGAATAAACCGAACTGTACGACACTGGGTGTAACAAACAAAATCATCTTCCAGAGCCAAAGTACTATACTACTTGCCACATACGATGATGTATGTGTATGTTTTTCATTCCCCCAGGATGGTTGCATCCACCAATCACGAAACGGTCATTGGCAATGAAGTACCCCTTACTGTCCATCTCGACCAGTCAGGTGGCCAACAATCGGCATTTCACATCCTCAATTTTTCGACCGTCTCGCTTACTACTACTAACTTACTACTACTAACTCAGCTAACTCCTGCTCTGACCACGATGCAGTACATGATTAGCCATACTATGGATGTACTATCCCGGTCTCTCCCAATCCACTACAGTATCTACTTTACTCTCTTCAGCTCTGCCTCCGTCCCTTATTTTTTTTTTTTTTTCTTTTTCATCTCCCGCGGGTACTCCGAAGGAACACAGACCAGGTCAGTGGGCCACAGCAACCCCATCCAGGTGGAGAGACAGAGTGCATCGCCTCCCAGTTTATTCTCTCACACACACTATCTCGCAGCCGACCGAGGGGTCTAGCCGGTCTCCTGGAACATTGGGGGTGCTCGCAACCTCCTTTTCCTCCAATTCTCTTGACCTAATGATAATCGCAACGATGATGAATCCGCCCAAGGTTCCTAGCTGTGGTTACCCGCCATGACGTCTCGGGAGGTCTCCATCGCCCCTCTTCCCGCTACCACAAAAGCTGGCAAAAATAAGGGCTGGCTGGCGCGCTATCGACGGAATCTATCCACGGTAAGTCGCCCTCGGAACCACCAACCCGGTTGGCGCTATAGTCAGCGTCCTAAGAATAAAAATTCTCCTACCAAAAGTGACATACATAAAATCTCCGACCACACTACCCACTGGTCCAGCGCGGACGCTAGTAAATTTCTCGGCTTCAGACGTGGAGAAAATAACCTCATTGAGTAAGGTTCTTTGCTCTCTCCCCCCCAAAATTTCCTCCCCCCAAATAGTCTTACCAGGCGGACCGGATACCGGGTGCCCAGGGTCTGCTGCAATGCCACCAGTGGTGTGATCCGGCATCTTCAGAACCCCTTCCTTAGTGCGACGATGCTCTTCGATACACTCGCTGTGGCTTGAGATCGCCAAGGATTGCAGAATTCTTCTCGTCGTCGGCCGTATGCCTGTTGCCCCTCTCGTGTGATTTTGATGACCAGCTCTGCCCGATCATCTCGCCCGAGACACTGGGATTGCTCTTGTTCTCATGACTCAATGCTGGTTCATCTGGCAGCTGACCTTGTAGCATGTCTCCGGTTAGGTCGTTCCCGACGCACGAGACGCCTGGTGTGCCTTGGGCCACCAGATACTGTATACGTCAAACTCGGCGAGGGTGGACGGCATCTGACTGATGGTCTCGGATAAGGCACCGGCCAGTGCTGGTCAGCCCTACCGATTTGGGTGATGACTGATCAGAATTGATCCAGGATTATGCTCGACATTATTAATGTTCGCTCTAAGGTGTCCCCCCTGGCTGTGAGAACAAGGTTAGGCTTTAGCTTCATCGCACCAGCCCAGAATAGTAACCCCGCAGCACGATGACTCTCAATCGACTTACAGCTGATTATGTTGTTAGCTGGACTAAGACCGATAAGCTGTCAACAGACGAATGAGTGTGCCAGAACGTCAAAGGTGGCCTTGGATGTCGCGCGATGATGATGTTGAGCAGCTGCAGAGGTTCAGACGTGGTGCTGAACAATTGCGTCAGACGTGTCTACATGGAATGTGGATAGAGCACCACCAGAGTGCTGAACTGATTAGATCTAGTCGAGCCTCATCTTGTTCTGCAACGGCGTCACCGAGATCCACAAGCTCTGACCACCACAAGTTTGGGTTGCCGCGGGGCCCGGGCTTGCCAATTTCCCAGAAACCAGCTCGAGGTCAGCACACCCGGCTGCTATCCGCCCGGCGGGTGCACTACTGTACGATGCCGTGGGGGAACCGGTCCAAGACCTCACTCTGAGGGCGGATGAGAATTATCCCGGATGACGGCAGGGCGTGTCGGTTGTTCCTCCTGCGTCTTATGTCACAGTGGCAGGAAACCTACTCCCGGTCATCAACGTGCTGCTAAAGAGTGTATCGGACTTTATCCTGTCGTCGGGGGTGCAAAGCCGACCTCATCGACTTCGGCAGATGGGATGCCGGTAAAGAGGGGCATCCCCCGCACGAGACTTCAGATCTACGACACAGGCGGCAGTTACCTCACAGGCTTCCCGGTGGCCAGGCAAAGACAGGATGGGATCAAAGGAATTGTGGTAAGCTATCTACTTGCTCCTAGCCAACGCATTTACTGTCGTCTCAAAACTCTCAGGTTCTCGTCCCAAGATCTCCCTCAGGAGCGGCGACACCACGGCCGTCTCCCCACGACGGATCGCATCCCACGCGGTTGCCCATTCCCTGGTCAAGTCGATACCATGATAGGTGTGTTTTGATCCGTGCTGCGGTAAAGCCACATACTCGTCGACAGAGATCTCCCGCAAGCGGAGGGGCTTGCCAACGGCCTGGCCCAGAATCTCAACAGTCTCCTTCAGCGAGACCTCCCTGGGGCCGGAAAGCAAAAGCACGCGGTTCAGGTAGGGGAACCCCGCCGGATTCTTGGCATAGTCTGCAATCAGCTTCGCCGTGGCCTCGCCCAGCTCGTCACGTTTCACCCACGCAACGCCCGGTCCGTCGCCGGAGTGAGGGATCGCGATCTCGTCTGCGGGGTGGTGGATATCGAACCAGCTGGTGTAGATCGGATAGGACTCCGAGTACAGACCCTCCCGGATAGCGGTGTAGGTGATGTGCCCGGAAAGTTCGGCCAAATACTTTTCGGTCCGCAGATGGGCGCCCATCACGTGCGCAACGCTAGTCTCCTCTAGATCGCCTGCAAAGGCGAGAGACGAATAGAAGATGTGCTTGACGCCGCTGCGGCGGGCAGCATCAATGGCGTTCTTATGCGCCTGTCTCGGATCAGCATCATGTCGGCGCGAGATCATCACTGCAACCTACCTCGAAGCGGAACTGGATCTCGAACGAGGCATACGAGATCAACATCAGGGCGTCGATGCCATCGAAGGCGCGCTCTAGCGTGGCGGGGTCTTCATAGTCGGCCCGTCGGACGGTAGCTCCGGCCCGCGTGAGTTCTGCGAGATTATCTGGCTTGCGGGCGATCAGGATCAGTTCCGATGCGGGCACCAGCTTGAAGAGGTGATTGATGATGCTAGTCCCCAGTCCTCCTGCTGCAGGAAAGACACCGATTTTGGCCATGGTGTGCGCGTGGTGTATGACGTAGAGGTGGTTACACCGGTCCTCTTCACTAAACGTCTTGTAGTATGCGATAATGTAGTAACGTACTGTATAGAATTATCCGATGAAATGCTGTGTAGAGGGAAGATGTACCAGTCAGGGGTCGTTGACTTGGTGGTGTGAAGCTCAAAGTGTGTGTCTTGGAGCCCCGCTGTTGGTGGCTTACAAATCGGTCTGACGTTAAGGGCAGTCATCGTGGTGCCGATCGACCTTCAGGGGTTCAACCAACCTTCCTTGGGGGTTCAACTTGACCTTGAAGCATATCAACCATCACTTGGCAGTCTACTAGAATGACTCTACCGATCTGGTCAAGATTTAGGATGCTACATGACTCTGTTGCATCATTGCTGGGGATTCTTGGTCGATACAGGCCGTTTACCGGTACACCCGTGAGTAGACATTGATGCTGCTGTGTTGAATACCTTCCTTCCTCAACAAATAAGCGTGGTTTTAGACTCATAGTCCAATAACTCCTTTTTATTTTTTCCCAAGCCGCTACGGCTGTTTAGAAACAATAGACTGTGTCCAACAATTCCCATCCTATTCTACTCAGTAGCCACGTGACCGCGTCGTACCTGTCCTGTCTTTTTCATTTATTGGCTTCGGCGTTCGTTTATATATTATGAAAATGACTGGCTATATGGTAACAGGCTATGTAGTCTGATAATTCTGACTACGAAAATGTGAACTGTTAGTAGTGAAGAATAAGTAGTACCACTACATGAATATATATTTCCCCCGAGAACAATACTATAACGCACCTCACCGATCGCTCATGACTCAATCCATGACCAACCGCCCCAACCAATTCAATAACATCATTAATAATGGAACATGAGACTTTATAAATGTCCCCTTCTACAAAGAAATTATTGTTAACCATTCTCTGCTACAAAAATATTCATAATGAAGCACCTGCGAGAGGGGAAAGGAGGAAGGGAGACTATTCTGGGCATAGCACTAAACCGAACATGGCTAGTACGAAGTGTGAGTAGTTGAACCCATTCCATCTTACCTACGAGGAATGCAATAATAATATTCTATATAATATTTATAAATACGATTGCGAGCATGCTTTTCCGAAAAAGTAGATATTGTGGAGAGACAAAAAAGAGTTGGATGAAAGCTTTCTGTTATAGAGAGGGTAGTAGTAATTTTGTTGGTTCTTGATTAGGTTATAGGCACTGGCTAGGATAGTTGCAATCAAGAGCTTTATTTTCTCACCTAGTTAGATGCAGTAGGATAAAAACCTCAATTCAATGAGACTATATTTGTTCGAGGAGGAAAATGATTGGATTCTACTCTCGTTATGGGTCTTTATTTATTCGTACTTTCTGCTTACTGCTTACTGCTTTCTATTTCCATTCTATTAGTTTAGGTCAAGAGGTAGGAGGATGAATTGCAGTATTGACATCATTATAGGGGTGCGCGGGATATACTTAAAGGAATTAGTTAATATTAATTCTGTCGAGACTGAGATGGAACTGATGCTCAGCGATATGCTTACCAGTGCACGTGCTGGTCAACCTGGTACGTGTCTCGAAGCTGGCATCATAATCTAAGACGAGGAAAAAGATAATTCGAAACGGTCATGGTGGTTCTGTCTACTGCTCACCCGAGTTAGTATTGGTTGATTGATGTTCAGTTCTAATCAAAGCACTTGTAGTGGAAAGAAAATACTTCGAAGGAAATTTGACGCAGGCGCGCACACTAGATTTGAGATTCCGCTTGAGGAGATCGGGCATGAGACGACATTCTTGAGGTTTCTCCAGAGTGAGAAAAGTCCCCGGGTTCGTACAACTATATGTAAACCGAGCGAGAGCATACCCTAATTGCCTTGATAGTAATGAAAACAAGAACGATCCGCGTAAAGCAAGGCCCTCAAGAAATTCTGTGGTTTAAACATTGGCATCGGCATCAAGCATCTCCTCCCAGTCCTCCATGAACCGCAGAATCCACTTCCACAGATTCGGAGAAGCATCAAACATATCTTGTCGAATCCTCCGCGGACTGCCAGGCGTATACTTTCCTTTCCACTCGGACATGAGTGTCAATTTCTTGGCGATGGTGTGTTTGAAAACCTTGTTCCGGAAATAGTCCTTCTCATCTCTTTCGACTTTCCAAAGTGGGCGATCCTCCTCACGAACCTCGTCATACAGCCGGAGGTAATGAGGTGAGCGACGTTGTTGCGAGAAGTACTCTCCTATATCCTTTTCGGGACCATAGGTAGACTGCCAAACAGCAGCAAAGAGATTGTAATCACCGATAGAGTCTAGACCGAGCAGTCGACTTAAGTTCCAGTAATATTTGCCTCGTTTGGGGGATTCGCGGTACCTGCGCACCGTACACTCTTCAGTCGATCCGGGCATAGCTGCCATGAAGCCATCGGTGAAGGCTGTGTGTAACTCTGGGCTTATCTTGTCGCCGTATTGTGGCAGGCCGGGAGGGGATAACAGCATAGACTCAGGAACGGAAGATGTAAAAGCCCAGTCGATGATACAAGTAATGTTGTAGTCGTCGTCGACGTAGATGTTATTGACACTAAGATCAGCGTGACATAGCGGGAATGTCCCCGGGTTCGAAGTTGGGAGTTCAAGTTTACGTACAATGTCGCGGAGAGCATCACCCGCAACGATGTAATCCAGCCTGTTATCCGCAGAATCGATTTTGTCCCCGACAGTGACGAAGTCATTCCACAGATCCACAGCCTGCCTGTACTGCTTGTCGGATTGATAATCATCTCTCGAAGGAACTGGGGCCACGAAACAGTGATGCGATAACCGCAGCATCTCTGCTTGATCTGAAAATACAGAAACGAGGCTGTCGTAGAACTCTGCGTCGGTAGCGAAAGGGCCACGCTGACGCTCTAACAAAAATCGTTCATGTAACATATAACAGCGCCAGAGGCATTCCGCAATTTTGAAAGCTCCATCGTCTTCATAGAGTGAGCCGATTTTATCAAGTCGTAACTGCGAGAGTTTCCAGGTGATACCCCCTAGCTGGGCCATGACATTGGCCTTTTTGGATGGATCTAGGTCAGGTAGGGGAGAGCCGGCTGACACCCAGACTTTTGATAATGGCCAGCCAGGAGCTTGGCTCATAAGGATGAACGGGACTTTAGTGTCATTGTCGGACGATGCGCTACGACAGGTTAAGCTCGAAACTCATGTTTTGAAGGGGTGCATTACCAGTAGTCATATACCTCTGGGACGGGTATATCGCTGTGGGTTTTGAAGTATCGGAGTGTAGCCGCTTCACTTGCTAGTAGCTTTACACCAATCTCAAGGGGCATGAATGTCCTCGGGTGTGGCGATCTAAAAACCCATTGTATGCCATCTCCGAAAAGGATGAATATAGCCCAGTTGAAGCTTCCTGAGGCAGGGCGTTGACTGGGATCACAAGTACAGGGGATACCCTGCCGTAGCGTGCTCGCCCGACGACACACTGCTTCAAGGTCGAAGTCAGCGTAGATGAAGATGTTTGACTTCGAACACGGAGACATTACGGCCATACGATGTCCGAGAATGGAATAAAAATGAACGAGGGACCCGAAGAGTCAGCTCCATCAGGGATGGCCAGGGATGCGTCTCGATTTGTCTTAACTCATGCATAAAAGCGGTGACGGTCATCTTCTGACAGACCAACCATTGCGTGTACTGAAACCGTAATGTCAAGACACGCTGCGAGTTGCCTACAATGTCAATAAAATCATGTCGTCAAGAAGTCACAGCATCTGTACGCATGTGGCTTTTTGTTTCACTTCCGCTCATGGAATTGAACGACAAGTAGGTTAATAAATCGGGTATCTATCACGATCCAAGACAAAACAGATGGTGCCTTCGAGTCATGTTATCAGCTAAGCTGACTAGCGCATTTATAAGTAGACCTACAGACAGGGGTTGCGCAGGGACAATCTTTCAGGATGCGAGAATAAGTCTGCAATTGGTCCCTGGCACTCGCTTCCCCATTTACGTAGAGTGATTTCCATCATGTATCATGACATTATTGGTCAAGACATCATTTCAGAGCTATTATGCGATGCTGAAAAATCGTAGCCCATATATCGTGTCGCCAGTGCTGTGCCTATTATGTCGTGTATATGCACTCATTGGGGTAAACTACGTGCCGCCATAACACATTCCGTCGCTGATAGGCTGTCAGGGCCGACCCCATGAATGCTGTCGCATATCCTTCGCTGATGAGGGATTAATTTTGTCCAGACTCTTTTGGGCTCGCAAAACAGCTATGCATGATAGACTTATGCTGATGAACTCAATCACTGTGTGGAATGGCAGCTGCCTTGTCCATGCCTGGTCCGGCCTGCATTTGTTAGCAACCCAAGAGCATGAATAACAGTAGATCCAGAGACCAGATATTTTGTCTGCAGGATATCACAATTTGCCTGGAAGTGGATGAAAGTATGGTAGCTCCTGTGCCATTAGTCGCGCACCTAAAAAGCTTCGAATATTCGAAGAGCGGAATGTTCCGACACTAGACTTAAGAACCCTGCAGCATGTAGGATATGGCTTGTAGCCGCTTTTGCATACCAGGATGCAGGCTTCGTATATGAAGCACTAGGTAAAGTCGATGGGCGAATCGCGACTGACAACCTTGGCCGCATGCGGCAGTTAAATTATTAAAAGCCACACACAACGGCCTTATCAGCAGCTATCGTGCATGTCCTCGGTGTCCTCAGCCTATCAGATATAACCGCCAGCGAGTGTACTCGGCGAATGCCACCATCGAAAACCGCTTTCCGTTGTCGGACAGCTTGCCACAGTTAGCGGGTTCTCTTCTTATGTATGACACCTCGATCGACAGCCCAGGCCGCCAACAGGCAGCCGCAGCCATAGCACCCCGCATTATCCTCCCCCTCTCTTGGATCGGAAGTCGGCTGTAACAAAGTTTGGGCTAGTGGTACCGCAACGCCAGCTTGGGTCAACACTGTAGTCACCTCTGTAACACTGCGTCTCTGGATGTGGGTTGTTGAGTCTCAGGAGAGCGATTGAGATGATGACAACTCATCGTTGAATCCCGATACTGGACAAAATATCACGGATTCGCCACATCTCGCATCTTAAATTAAACAGGGGGAGATAATGGTTCGGATGGATCGACAATCAGTGCCCCGGACGCGGTTATCGCCTCCGCATAGACCTGCCCGATTGGGACAGATGACGGGGAGACTGACGATGATGATCTGGGATCGAATTCCGGGAATTCCAGGGACGACGACCTGAAACTTAGATGCGACCTGCGAGTTGATAGACGTAGTTGCCTTTCAACAAAGCGATTATAGTAGCCTGAGAAGATGAAAATCCCCTATATTCGAGAGCGTTTTGAGCACAGCGACCGAAAGGCAGATAGGACCGATGACTGTAAGAAAGCGAGGGCTACCTGAGAGTATATCGCTAGTATACGATGAGTATACGAGGCAAATATCACGA